TCAGAGCACTGTGGGACAGTTGCACGAGGAAAAGCTGCATCCTGATGCTGCTGGAAGAACATGTGGGGGATAAAGTTCATGTCACCTTGCCAAGCCAGGGGTGGCATGAACTTTTCACAAAATACAGAAAGAAGTTCTGGATGACATACTCCACTTAGCATGGAGACACTTAGGAGAGTGCTGTAAACTCAGCTTGAAAATACAAAATACCCAGACTAGGTTAAGAGTTCCCTGTAGAACAGCAAGGACCTGACGCAGCTCAACCCAAGAGGAAATCAGCCAGCGTGGGAGCAACCCTTGCTGAAGCCAGTTGGAAGCTTTGTACCAGAGCTTGGTGCTTAGGCTGAGCACAGAAAGCATTTGCTCCACAAAAGTTTTCCATGGCAGGGAAATGCATTTTCCTCTGAAAGCAGCATGTGCCTGTGGATAATGTCACACAGAGCACACCACTCACTTTTGAATTATCCAATGGAGCCCACCCCTGTTCATCCCAGCAGTGCTGAGTGCAGCCCATTCTGCCCTCCCCTCCCCAGCACTACTTGCCTCAACCCCTCTGCTAGAGAACAAAAGCCAATCTGCTTCATTCATCACCACCAGAAGTCCCTGGATTGTCACTGTCACCCACAAAATCCCTCAGCAAAGCTTGGTGACCAGCAGGAGCAGCCCCACAGGTCTCCAGCAAACAGCTATGTGGCTCCAGGGGTTGTTTCTTCACCTCATTCCACAGCAGGCTGCAGAGGCCAAGGCAGGCTGCTGGAGCATCCCCTGGCTAAGCAAGTGGATCTGGAGCTGCTGCAAGAACATCAGGGTGAAAAATAGGAATGAAAAAAGGAGCAGGAAATAGATGAGGCAGCTCTGCCTTCCCCACAAGTAGTCTGGAGCTGGGTGCAGGCATTGCACTTACAAAGGCAGCTGACAAGAAAAGCTCTCAAGTCCTGAGGGTGATGATTTTGGGCAAGGGAACAATGAGAGAAGCAAGATTGCCACCCATATACACACACAGTGCTGCCTCAGAACTGGCCACAGGACTCTAATCAGATGTGGTGCCAGTTAGCTTTGTTCTGGATCAAAGAGAAAGCAAAACCATGAAGCATCTGACTCCAGGCTCCTCTGCTCTGCAGAGTCCTTGCCCTTGCCCTGTTTCTTGCTTAGCAAAACATTCCAGGAGGCCCAATTCCCCATTCCCTCCCACTCCAGGCTGAATCACAGCAAAGTTGCTGGACTGGGGCTGCTTGTCAGCCTGCCAAACTTTGCTAACCAATCTTAGTGTGAAAGCAGCTGTGACAGACAGCAACAGAAAATCTGGTGTCAAATTAATTAGCTGGAAGGGACCCAGCCAAACACTGGTACTGAGGCTCACAACCACTGGATGAGTCAATTCTCACCCTCCTCAGTGTTACAGATGTTGGGCTGGGTGCAGAGCCCAATTTCCCAAAGCAGCCCATGACAGCAAGCTCCCACAAGGCAATATAAAGATGAAGCATTTCTTCTGGAGTTGGGTTTTTTTTCCTACACTGGAAGGGAATTTGTGTCTCAGTGACATCTCCCTCCAGACTTGAGTTTTCTTTTTTCCCCCAAAACAATGGCAGTGAAATGGCACCATTGGTTTTACAACTTTTTTTTTGTTCTTCCCAGAGAAGTGAATTTCTATGGTTGGAGAATTTTAAAAGTGCTGATGGAATTTGGCAGGGGTAACTAAACACACATGAGGAAGGGAAAGGAAGGGAAAGGAAGGGAAAGGAAGGGAAAGGAAGGGAAAGGAAGGGAAGCCTTTCAGTTACCATGGCAGTATGTTTCCATGGAAGCCAAATGATGATGATTTGAAGCCTGTTGCTGCCACTGGAGTGGCCTGAAGAAAATTATTAGTTTTGAAAATTAACAAAGCTACTCAGTATCTTGAAAGCCAGCCCACCCACAGCCCTCCAAATAACAAAGGCATCTTTGCATCCCTGACAAAGGATTCAATAAACATGTGGGGAAGGAAGAGAGAGCAGAAAAAATTCCACACAATGAAAAATGGGAGCTTCCTTTTATGCAACCAACAATGCAGAAACCACCCTGGTAAGCACAAGGCTGAGTGCACTTTGTGAAATATTGCACATAAAGGTCAGCAAAATCCTACAGAACATCCTGTAGGATTGACTCCTGAGGGGACTGCTTTGAGACTAGAGCTGCTTGGTTGCCATTTGTTTGAAATTATTTTCCCATAAATCATGCTGATGGCTTTCCCCCAGTTTGCTCACCCACCTCCCAGAAAAACCTTGGGGATGGAAAGCAAAATTTTCTTGTGGGTTGCCTAATCAATATTAAAGATCAGCTTAGCTGCTCTGATGCTCTCCTTGCTGGTCAGAATATCTTTTTGAATTCTTGAAGGTCACCTTGTGCCTTCCCAACCCAGTTTCCCCACAAGAAGACACTTTTCCATCATTTTTCAGAAGCCAGGGAGCCCACACAAGCTGCCTGGTGTAGTTTATCACATGTAAGTGGAAAAACATGGCACAGATTCAGCCCTCCCCAAAGGGAAGGCACAGGGATTCGGGGATGAAGCATTCAGGTTCCACAGGCTGCCAAACAAGAGATTCACAGGCAACACAAGCAGACCCAGCACTACCTCAAAAGCACAGATCAAAGTGCCTGATTTAGTGACCTTCCACCTAGAAGCAAGAACCTCTCCCTCACTGACATGAAAAAAGCCCTGTGAAAACCTTCCAAATGAGGCCCTCTGGGGATAACTCACCTGAAGAAAGCTGAACTCTCAGTGAAAGGTAAAGATCAGAGGGAAAGAGGCACCTGTTGGATCATCAGCTGAATCTGACTCCTCATTTCAGGGCAAAGAAAGATCCAAGACCTGCCCTACTGAAACATCACTCCTGTACCCCTGCCAAAAGGTCTCCTGTGCTCTCTGCTACCTCTCTTGTCCAGGAGGAAAAGGGAAGGAGAAGATCATGTTAAAGCACACCTCAACTACAAGCATTTCTTTTAAAAGAAAGGCAAGTACAAATAAAGGGCCTGGCACCTGGTTTGGGATTCCTGCTCTGCTCAGATTTCACTCAGGGCATGAGCTGCACAGAGCACTGGGGAGTGCTGCATCCCACGCCTCCAGGAAAAAACAGCCTTCCCCACCCCAGAGCCACAGACCTCCAAAGAAACTAAAACATGACTCTGCAAGAGGCACTCAGAACTAGACTACACATGAGAGCAGAACAATTGGCTTAAGTTAACACCTCTTCCCTGCTTGGGGCGCTTTTCTCAGTTCCCAAAAAGAAATCTGAGACCAAAGACTGATAAATAAAATAAATCAATAGAAGAGGGAGGTATGCCTAGTCCTCAGAGACTTCAACTGTCTTAAATCCAGCGTCACACAAAGAAGTAATTCTCTTTACTGTGTCAAAAATAAAGAGGGGAAAAAAACACACAGAGCTGCCAAATGTGTTAAATACATAATTCAGGGCAATTTAATTTAAAAAAGCAAAATACATTTCATCATTCATCGGCTGGCACGATGTATAAAAACTTTTAAATAACAACTTTAATATTAGTCACAAAATACAGCAGGTTTTATAAAAATAGCTATATGCACTGATATGACTGATAATGTAAAACCACTCTGAAGAGGCCATGCAAAGACATTCAGCTTTGACCTTTCAACTTCCAAGTGCTTGTTGCATCTGCTACTTTATTCCTTCTCAATCTGCTTGGGAGGGTTTTGTACTGGCACTTGGGGGCCTCCTCCTTCCCCCCTGCACACAAAGCCCTGGAAAAAGGTTTCAAAAAGGGCTGACAAGTTAAGGTGCATCACGGGCATCTCAGTGGCCCAATTTTCACAGCTTATGTTTCACAAAGTGCTCAACATCTGTGTCCTTCTCCACGGACCTCCCTTTGGTCACTTAAAATCTTCAGCTTTTCAGCCAAAACCCTTCCAAATTATTCTTGGCTCTGTTACACCACAGTATTGAAACTGAAAGGAAAAATCTAGACACCCAGCCTGAGATTTCTACAGGAGGCAGAATTCTGCGGCTGCAGCACCATTTTTGTACAGCTGTACTCTACTTGTGGCATTTCTAAATTATTCACACACCAAAATTCACTGATGTCTGTCTGTTCACATTAGGAAGTCCAGGTAGGACACACAAAAGGTCATGGGAGAAATACCATTTTACAGAAAGGTAGGTTTAGCTGAGGATAGCATTAATATAATAAAACCCCACATTAGTATTAAAAAGCCTAACAGTAAACTGTTACATAAACAGTCTGTTACACTGCAGATATGAGATTTAAGAATGTAACTGTTCCAAGGGGACATAATGGACATCAAACTCCAGAAAATTAAAAAAAGAGATGGGATGGAGTACATTAGAGTTAAGGGCAAAGATATGCCAGATAAAAACCCCACCCCTCCCAGTTTTCACTCCACATGCTGACACACAAATTATCAACATCATAAAAAAACTGCAGAGCTCTCTCCACCTCTAGAAATATGAGCACCTTTACAGTCCCTTCTCATTCCATTTAAGCCCAATGAATGCAATGGAGACAGAGATCCACCCAGTCACCACCTTCATTCCTGAGTCTACAGAAAGAGAGGAGGGCACTGCTGGTTGGGAACAGTCCCTACTGCTGGCAATAACAGCAGCACCTTCAAGATGTGCCACCAAGGAGAGCAGCCATCAGCAGGGAGAGGCTTGATGCTCTGCCTGGCAAAGTGTGGGTTTTTCCTGATGTTTTCAAGTTTGCATTTTAAACTGTGCTCTTCTAAGGAGAAAATGAGGAAAGCTTAGTGATTTATCACCTCAGATAATAACACAGCAGCAAACTCGTCTTCTGCAGTTTGGAAAAAAAAAAAAACCAGTTGAATTATCTTAATGCACTAAATCTGACAGGCAAAAAACATTCCCATAAAAAGCTGTCCCCTTTAAGTTACAAGTCACATCACAAGAGCAAGCTCCTAATCAAAGTGTCGGAAGCAGAGCAGCTTTTATCAGCGCTGAAAATCCAAATAAGAACACAGACTCATCCTGCCCCCGCCACAGCAGCACAGGGCTTCAGAAGGCTTTACGGGGAGCTGGCTGGAAGTCGCTGGTTTTGGTGGCGTGTGCCAGGGCCCTGCGCCGGGCCAGGCGGGACTTGGAGGGAGGGGACAGCTTCATGGAGCACACGGTGGCGTGGGCGGCGCTGTCCTGCTCCGCGCTCAGCTCGCTCTCGTGCTGGGACAGCTGCCGGTTCAGGGCGATGGCCTCGGCTGCAAACAGCGTCAGGTCCTTTGTGCTGCTGTTCCTGGCCAGGGGAAGAGAAGGAGGAAGCAGTTTCAACACAGGCACTTCACCCAATCACCCTCACAGCACAGTATCTATTTCCAGGCGTGTTTATTTCCTCTGGCAAATCATAGAGACAGCAGGGAAAATGACCAGGTAATATTTGCATTTATCCTCACTCAGAGGACCAGCAATGCATGAGAAAAGCACTCTGGGATTTTGGAAACAGCCATAGTTCTACGATTCCTTCTGCCAAGGATTTCTCATTATAAACCCAGGAAGCCACCTGAGATGTCATCCTTAATTTCTACCTGTTCTCAAATAATGGACATATGGGGCCATTCTGCTGTCCTTCTCCAGAGAACTGCAGTCCTTCTACAACTGCACCTGTGGCTTAAGGAATTGCTTTTCTGATGGGAGAACCATCTGAAATCACCAGCAGACAGAGATAAAAACAGATGTGTGACTCAGGCTCTCTGGCACACAGGTTCTCCCATCCAATCACCTGCAATGAGGCTCGCCCTGCTCACAGTAAATGGATATTGTGGGTGCCACCAACTACAAGGCAAGTCAGATCCAAGTCTGTGTTTATGGTGATTATACACCCATCAGAAAGCAGTCTCTTTGGGTAACACACGCCTTTATGCCTTTTTCTGCCCCTCCTGGGCAGCAAGCTGACAAAACCATCATTATTTCCTGTCTAAGATGAACACTGCACTGCAGGAATTCCCTCTAATGCTTTTCTCACAAACAAGCAAGATTAGATCATAAAGAAAATTCAGAGCTTTAATATTTCTGATGTTCTTAACAAAATGAGTGTGGCACATTTATGAAGCTCCATTCTCAGGCAGGGATGTTACCTCCTAATTTGTCAACTCCTCTCTCCCACCCACTCTTTCAGGAATTATTCTTGGCCAAGTTTATAGATGTTTAGAAAATAAACCCTACCTTTGAAGAACTTGAGGGGTGGGCAATCCCCTTTCAGGAGCCTGCTAGAAGAAGCATTGAAGAGAAGTTAGTTACACATTAGCAGCTGGGAACCAAGCTTTCCCAAGAGTTACAAAAAATAAGAGACTCCCCCAAATCTTTACAGATATTGGAAATAAACTAATTCACTGTGGGCAAAGCGTTTTTCATAATTTGTCACCCCTCACAAGAAGTTTTCACAGCTTGCAGGTATAAGACTACAGCTTTGGAAGCTCTCCAGAGGGTCTATTCCTTCTTTCCTGAACAGGGAACTGAAACATAAGAGGACACTGCTGTTCTTTTATAACCATATTTACCAGCATTCTGCATTACTGTATTAGCACAATAATTTGTGTACTGCAGTACTTGCTATTCACAAGAAAGCCATTTAAAATGCACAAAGCAATAATTAAACAAAACAAAGCAAACACTTAAAGGCTGACATATTCATCCAAATATTTACCATGCAGAAAAAAATAAAGCCACTGTGTATTATTTAATTAATCAAGATACAAGCACTGAAACACACAAGGACTCAAATAAAAGTTCAGAGACAGGGAACAGCTTATTTGTCACTCTGGAAGAAGAATAACTTTATATAAAGGGGGATACATACTCCTTGAAGCCATGAATGTTGCAAGACTTGAGCAGCACTAAGTCGTTCTTTGGCATCACAAACCAGAAGCTTTGAGATGAGATCTTTGGCCTCAGAGGAAATATGTGACCAGTCCTTGTCAGGAAATTCATATTTGCCCTCCTGAATGCTCTCAAAAAGCTTGTTCTGGTAAAGGAAAAAAAATATTTAATTGAAATACACTGCAACCAGAAGGTTTCTCAGGTGAGACTTCCCACTCACTTTTAACCACCTGATGTGGAGGGCAACAACTGAAACCATCCAGTGTCCTTATGCAGTCAATGGGGAGTGACAGGCAGCTGCACAGAGTGGCTCAGTGCAGCCTAAGATGGACACAATACACTGTCTGCTGAAAACACTTCCCCCCACCCCTAAGAGGGCAGCTAAAATACTCCATTTTTAGAAAACAAATGCAGGCCCTGCATAGCAACCCTCCCAGGGCTCAGCTTTTATCTGAGGAATTGCAGTGACTAAAATTAACCAGATCAAGGATTACAGACCAAGGGAGGATCCCAGAGTGGGGAAGAGGGTGAGGAGAAGCTCTGAGATCTCACAGCAGGAGGAAGGAGAGGCTGTTGCTCATGCTTACTTTAGAAACTGGCATCACTCAACTTCTCTATTGCCACCCTCACTTTGCAGTGACAGCTCACCCTCCCAGCCACCTGCCAGCATCAGGCACAGCTCCCCACTGCTGACACTGCAGCAAGTTCTGCACCCAAGGCCCAGGGGAGAACTCTGCTCTCCCCACGCAGCCAGGACATGCACACTCACCTGGCAAACCCTGCAGACTTCTCCTCTGTCCCAGCCACAGTCTGTGCCACAGTTGCCCACAAAAGGGGGGTAACCACTGAGCATGATGTACAGGATCACCCCCAGGCTCCACAGATCACACCTCTTGTCATAGAACGTGGCCTCCTCCATGAAGACTTCCACCACTTCAGGTGCCATGTATTCTGCAGAGCCACACTAAGAAACCAAATTCCATCAAGCTTTCAAAGGGAGGGTCACATCAAAACAAGACTCAGGTTTATAACTTTCCACTCTTTATACCAAGTGGCTTGGTGGAAAAGCAGAAATTTAGGCATCAGTGAATAGTGAAGTTCCTATAGTTATTTAGCAGCACCACAAGCTGTTCTACACAGCTGTGAACCTTTAATCCAAGGTCAAAACATTAACTTACATCTTTCAGGTTTTTAAGTCTTATCCATTAGTTATCAGACAAGTGTATCAGGGGAATAGATTTCTGTAAGACTTCTGCAACACTGTCAGATTTTTCTTTCACAGTAAATGGCAAAAACATAGGACTGTAGTTTTTCAAACCAATGTGTATTATAAAGCTACACACTGATAAGAGAGCTTGCATTCTCCATAGCTCATTGGCTTGGCTACAGAACCAAAAGATGGGGAAATGAACACAAAACTAAGGTTCAAAGTCTGTCCATAAGCACACAAAAATGGGCACAAAAAGTTTCTCCATTTGACTGTGTAAGAGATAAGCAGGACCAATGTGTCTCATGCAGGCCAAGAGGAGAATTAACACTGAGCTCCTGTGCTTTTGTGTATTTGTTCTGTAACTGGGAAAGCAAGACAGCATTCACCACACATACACTTGCTTGAAATGAGCTGCCCAGCACTGGGTGTAGTGGCAGTAAGCCCTTTGGAAGGTCTCCTCTGGAGATAAGAAAAACTGATTTGTTTGTAGTAGAACAAAGACAGCACAAAGCCACAACAGGTCTCTCACCGGCGTTGTTAACTCAGGAGTAGTTATGGGAGTACATGCACTGTTGAGCTTCACCCCACTGCCAAGATCAAAGTCACATATTTTTACTGGTGATATCTAAAAAATATAAGAGGTCAGGAAGACTGGGATTAATGCAAAATCTATGAATATGTATATATGTGAAGTAGAAAACCCCAGGACAGAGCACAAATCCCTAGAGAGACCCAGTCCCTCACAGCCACCTTCAGGCATTCACCTGCCCTGCCCCAGCTGCACCTCACCACCTGCACCTGATCCTGCTACACTATTCTTTTATTTGGTTAGGCAAGTGCCAGTACACATCAGGGCACTTTGAAAACTGGTCATATAAAGTGACCAGCTGGCCTCTAAATGCTGCTTGTCCATCTGGGTACTGGCTCAGAACAGATGAGGCATGAGGGTGTCACTGCTGTCCCTCCATAAGGCCAGTTGGTTTTTTATCTCTTAGCCAGATGTTCACATTTTCACAGCTCAAAGATTAATTTAATCTCTTTCAAGCATCAGTTCTGTTAAATTTAGTTGAAGTTCACTAATGGGTTCAAAAGTTTTCAAGAAGAGAAAAAACACAAGAACTGTTTTTGGGAACCAAGTTAAAAAAATTCAGTTAGGAGAGTTGAGAGACCAGAGCAGCACCTTTTCTGGAGATTCACACAGGATGTTTTCAGGCTTCAGGTCCCTGTGAGCAATACCTAAAAAGAGAGTACAAATGTTCATTAGAAAGGATACTCTGCTGTTTTATTTCTCATAACTTCTCTTTTTTTAGAAGGTGGCCTGGGAAATATTCTAGGTCTGAGCCTGCTACACACACCTGCCCCTCTTAAATATAATCATTTAACTGTAAAGTGCAACTGTTAAATGTTACTGTTGCATCCTGCTATACCTTTATCATCCTTAACTAGACAGGAGAGTCTGTCAAGCAAGTAAGAATCTAACATCAGAACATTTTGTTAGCCCAAATTAATTCTGTTCCTTAAAACCAGCTTATTGAGATGACTGACCTGTAGGAAAGTTTAGTGCTTTACACAGTTTAATGAAATTATTTTGGTGCCTTTTACAGTGAAGCTGTTCTTTCCAGGTGGATCAATTGGCTTGCTGAACTCCTACCAGCACAGACAGTACTTGAGGCACTCTCCTCAGCAAAAAATCCCCCAGATGAAAATATCCCTTTCAGGTACATACTCATTGCTGAAGCAAATGAAAAAGTTTCAGTTAGAGATGGTGAAGAAAAGCTAAAGGAAAACAGCCAAAAGGCTTCTTCATTCGACTCCTATCAGAATAGGCAAACCTAACAGGGAAGCACAAAGTTATCTGTGCAATCCACATGCAAGGTGGTTCTCTGTCAAAGTTCTTCAAATGCCTAAAACCACAATTTCTGGAAGTTCTTAATATGATCAAACTCAAATGGAAGGTAGAAAATGAGAGGCAAAAGAATCAAATCAAATGAGCAGCTTGGCTGTAATTTAACTGCAGTCTAGTCTTGATTTAGAAACTTACACTCCAAGAACACCTTACATTACTTCAGAGTACAGGAAGGAAAAATCCACCAAACTCTTGGCAAGGGAGCTTTTAATGTCAATTCTTCAGCACATTTCACAAGATGTGGCTTAAAACATAACAGCAGAGCCCCAAACTAAAGGAATCAGTGTTCATACTGACACAGTGCACATGGCTTTGGTACAAATGATGACACAATGAACCCACTGAGGTGGCCTGAGCTGACATTTGCAACAAGGCTGACCAAACTCCCAGCAGTTGGCTTGGCTCACAATGGGAAAGCCAACAGTGTCTTTTTGTATTGTTGTGTGAATTCAAATGTCTGATTATGTAACATTTGATTTTGCAGTTCCACAAAGCACTGAGAAAACAGCCGCCTTTAAACACCTCTCCAGTAGATTATCAGCAATAAAGCACACACATCCCAAGTGGGTGTAAGGCAGGATTATCATCCAGCTGAGTTTTAAACTACTCCTGTCAAAAGAATTAGTTGTCCTCATTCAAATTTTTTTAAAAGCATTTAGCTATAGGACTTCACCATTAAGCTGTGCAATGAAACTGCTTTAATTTCCTGTTTACTTTAGTGCTCTGTACCCTACTTACTAATTATTTTAATGTCACACGGAAGAACCATAAAGAGAACAATAAAATGAAAAGGGGATGTAGCTGATTCTGCAAGCTATATCCCTGCTGTCCCAGCTCACAGCAAACAACAAGAAAGCAGACTGCTGCTCTACAGCTATTTTAATCAATCACCCTCCTCTTGTTTGGGAAAAGGGGAATTAAAGCTAAAAGTTGAGAGAGAACTACAGAAAGGTATTAGCTCAGCTGATGTTAAACCTCTTGAGTGGGGTACCTGGACTTGCAGCTGTTAAGAAACCCACTACAGCCTTGCACATCAAAAAAGATTTTTTCTACATATTTGTGGCTAAATTCACTGCTTTTTATATGTTCCATATCTCAAAATCAAAATCTTCTAAACACAGGTATTCAAGAAGCACATTCTCTGAAGGTTTAATGTTGAATTATCACATAAAAACCTCTTGATCCAAACTAAGTTTGGTTTTACATTCAAATTCACTTTTTGCAACAGTCACAACATGTGACAAGATCCACATTCCTCAGGTTTACCCCTTTTACTCCAAGCATTGCTACAATTTTCTTTTTAATGGGTTCAACTTGTTGAGGTACCAGTGCTGTGATTCCAAGTCAACATATAAACAGTCCTGTGACTTGAAAGTATGGACTACAACTAAACATTTATTGATCCAGGGCCAGTACTAAGCAATTTAGGCAGCAAACCAAATCTGATGAGATCTACCAGGCTAATCAGAATAGCAAAAAGGAAAGAAAATATGTATCAAAATAAATATCCCACAAACAGTATCCAATCTCATGCCATTCTGTTCAGAGCTAGTCACTGTAAGAGTAACTGAAGCTGCAAGGCCAGAAAATCACAACCTAGGAAAAACTTCAAAAGTATCCATCATATTCAGCCCAAAAATATACTCTGGGATGTCCATAATGCACAGAAATTTTTGAATTTAGACCAAAGTATTCCCAAGTCAAAAAAGCAGCAGAAATACACTAACATAATAAAAATCTCTGTAAACATAACTGCTTTAAATGTAAGCAAATTCCAAAGGAATTGAGGACATCTTCAAATAAAGACTATGCTTCACTTAGATCTCTCAATTTAACAGTGAGAGTCTAAATGTGGGCAGCCAAAAGCTACTGCAAACCAACAGGTCTTGTGACCAGCAGAAATTCTGAGTAATTACAAAATAGAAACTCTGTTGACCTGAAAAGATGAGGAAATTAAAATTTTATTAGAACCCTTTTGAGTAACCTTTATATGGTGGCTTGTGTAACAGGAACAAATAGACTCAACCCTAATGTTAAATCTCTCTGGGTGATGATTCAAGTTTTCTTCTTGGAAAGCCTGTACCATCCTAACACTCCCAATTACTGAAAATACTACAGTATGAAAATAGAATCATAGAGGAAAGCAGCTTAAGTCATCTGGCATTGCTGTAAATGGGAACACTAGCAAAAGGTGGCTACTTAGAGATAAATGTGCTTTATAACCTGAGTGTACAGTATTAACTGGTAAAGATGGAGGCAGCCCTCTCTCACCTTTTGTATGAAGAAAGTCCAGAGCAGAGGCAATGTCTCTCACCACTTTGCTTGCTTCTCGTTCATTGAAGTGCTTCCTCTTTTGAATATGGGCCAGGATTGAACCTGTCAGGGTAACAGGTGAAAGGGAAAACCTCAGCATGAATGCTGAGCTAGTTCCAAGCATCATGAACCCATCATCTCATTTTCACACTTCATAGCAGCCTTTCACAGCAGGCAACTTCTGTGGAGCAAAGAGGGGAATGACTAAGCAGAAAAGGCACAACTGAGCAGCTTCACCACTTAAGTGTGCTAGAACATAATTTTCAGACAGTGCAGCTTCTAGGTTAAGCACAGCATGAGAGGCAATCACTTTTTACTGCCCCAGGACATGACTGGCCTGTTTTCCACACACTGGGACAGTGGAGATTTGCCAACAGTACCAGTAAAACTCAAACATCAGCTAAGGAGATCCATAAACACTTCAGCAAACCCAACCCACCCCAGGTCAGGGATGGTCATACTCAAATTCCCCTCATTTGCTAAAATGTCACCACTGAAACCCTGCACTGAAAGTCAAGGATGCATGTTTTGTGCCTCAACACCATCAAAGTAAAAAGAGATTTGACCTTTAAATACACATCAAATTCCCCACAGGCATCAAGGCAAGGCTTCTGCACTGACTTAAGGCAAAATTTACCCAGGGATATAAAATCTGACAAAAGTCCTCTAAATTAAAACATACTGAAGGGCTGGTAGCTTGCAGGCAGAGCCTCACTGGTATCCCTTTAACAAAGAATAAAGGGAGGTTTGATTCCTCATTTTCATAAAGTGAATTCAACCATTCATCTCAAAAGGTTAAAAATGTCTTTAAAAAACCATGTAGTCCACAGAGATCCCAGCTCCCTAAGCAGCCTTACTATTGCCTTCTATTTTCTTATTCAGAGAGGTGTATCTGTAAAAGCAATCAAAGAAACTCAAGTAGTGACTGCCATTTGTTATTAGCCCCAGTACACTCAATGTTTTCTATCTCAGGTGATTTCACTTTTATGCTCTAGTTCTAAATGTGGAAGGAAATCTCCTACTGGGTAATTCCTATTCTAATACCATCAATGCTACTGGCACTCCTGCACAGTGAGCATTCAGAGAGGGAAGAGAAAGGACGTTCAAAAAGAAGAGGGAGATGCTCAGATATGCACAGCCAAGCTGTGTCAGCTGGGTGGAGGAAGGCCACTTTGGACCAGGCTGTCAGATTTCAAGCACAGACATTTTCCCTTACTAAAACCAACACCACCTGGTTTGCTACAGATTTCTTGAGTGCACAAAGTTCAAAGGGGTTTCCTGATGTAGTTGTTCTTTGCACTTTTAGAAAGCAGTGAAAGTTCTTCAACGTTTCCAGCCCTGTGGAAAAGACCCCACACTTTGCAGGAAACAATACTGAGCTACCTGAAGGGCTCATTTCACTCAGCAGGTTTATGTGAAATTTCCCTTCTGAATAGAGCTGATGTTCAAACTCTCTCAGATAAGAATTATATCAATATCAATAAAAACACACTTTACTGACTTTGTATTCAGCCCACATAGAGAATTCTCATGAAGAAAGAATAGCAGGGCACCAGTTGTTCCTGCCTCTCCAGTACTCAGAGAAAGCATCATACAGCACCTCTCAAAATGCATTTCAGAGGAGAAAAAAAGAGAAAAAAACTCTTAAATCATACAAGTTCAATCTAATCAGCTCAATTTTAACTCACTCAATTATAAAACGCTGTCAGACAAGGATACTAAAGGGACTCTGCATATCACAGTGAACTGAAAACAGATAAAACAGGAACAGAGCTCCTTCAGTTACCACAGCTACTCGAAGGCAAAGTTGAAAATGGAAAGCCCAAATTATGCTCCAACACTGTGAGAGCAGCCTCTGAGACTGGAGTTACTGAAGTAAGACTTGCATTGAAGATTAATGTTCTCATTCTTGCCAGCCTTGCTACTCACATCAGTATCTGTAGTGCATCAGATCTGACCCCAATTCTCATTCTTTGTCTTCAAACTACATACCTAACCCTTTAAATACTGATTTTTAAGAGATATAATACTGATTTAAGAGAAAACTAACCTCAGCCCTAGCTGAGCCTGTAAAATCAGTAGCTAAGAGGGGAGTAGCATTATTATCCTCTCTGCAGCCATGCAGGTACAATGACAACCAGAAACTCACAAAAAAGAGGGTTAACTAATGGAAGAATGTGGAGATGAAAAAAAAGAAATTCAGATTCATCTCAAACAAGCCCCATTACAGCTAATTTATCAGAGACATCTGTGCATTAAGAAAAAGTGTTATGGGAAAATACAATAAAAATATGCAGAATTTTGAGAAAAGTTAAACAGAAGCTTTTACTCAAGAAATGTACACATCCCTCCCTTTCAAAAATAGTTCTGCATCTGTGCATAAAGAATTTTTATTTCTTGCACATACAGTTTGCTCCTGGAAACCTTCTTGACCAGAAGCAATAGATGATGTTCTCTGGGCAGCAGGATACTCCAGAAGTTCTCCTTTGAAGGGTTGGCCAGACTAACTCCTGGTTTTGCACAGCCATGCAATTAGCAGGTACTGTAATTATACTCCATGCGGACAAATGTGAGAAAGCCCATGAAGTGCTTGCTGCAGCTTTCTCATTGCCCAGGTGAGTGGGAAGTGCAGGAGCCCAGTGACCACTCAGGCTCACTTGATGGGCTCTCAAACACCCACAAGCACAACTGGTTCTCCATAACAGCAACCCCAGGCACGGGCAAGATGATTTTCATAACAGAGCTCCAGGCAATGAAGTCAATTCTACATCAAAGGGAAATTCTGCCAGAGTACAGAGATGCTGCACTAAATTCTCAAGCATTTAAAGTGAGTTCTTCAATTACTACTTTAAAACAGAGGCAAATAGGAGCCAAAATGATTCAATGAGCAAAGGCACAGTTTCTGCACAGTACCTCCTCGCAGCTTCTCAAAGACCAGGTAGTATCTTGTGTCATCTTCAAAAAATTCTATTAACTCCAAAATGTTCCTTTAAAAAAAGAAACAAAAAAGGGAATAAAGGAAACAAGCATAGAGTGTACACACAGCAATGAAGAGTTTCAGCCCAGGGTGCATAACTAGGAAGTGCCAGAAGTAACCAAAAATACAAGTTCTAGTTAATCAAGTTGCTTTGGTTGCCTGTGGCATTAAAACCACATTTCCAACACCCACTGAAATTTAAGCATGGGAAAGAGGCCAAACAGCACACTCAGACAAGATTGTGAGAGCTCTGCTACTGCTCAATTGACAGGAAGATAACTGGTTGTAGGTTGTATTTAATAATTTAAAACACTGCATTTGTGCTGAAGGCAGAAATAAAGAAAAAATAATTAAACTGGCATTCTTTCTCTCTGGAAATCACAAAGCAAAACACAGAGGACTCAAAGGAGACAGGCATCTGTCAACAAGATATTAAATCCAGCTCCTTAGTTGCCATTTTTAGACCAACTCCTGTTTAGCTCATGCAAATTCTTTGCAGCACAAATACCCCACATTGCTTTGAGAATGTCAAATGTGTAAGTAAGTCAGAATTTTTTACATTTAATGGTACACTCAACCCCCAAAATTCTGCATGTGGTCATGTGAGCTTGAGTTCTTCATCAGTTGTGCACTGGATGACCATTTACTCTTAACCTCACAAAAGAGGAAACTCATGGTCTGCTTCTCTACAGCACAACATAAACCCATGAATTTGGTAAAAAAGCTGGTTTTGAAATTATTTCTGTATGTTATATTAGGCATTTGTTTGAAAAATTCAATATAAGCAGCACAATTGTAATATATATACCATCTGTTGTATATACATTCTAGATTAACAGAGACATCTGAAGTAGCTTCAGAACTGCCTCAAACCCATCACAAAGTTCCCAGGGCCTGCACAGCTTTTCTTCCTCTTCAGCCATGAGCAGCAGCTTTGCAGTTGCCTCATCCTGTGGCTGCATGAAGTCAGCACACATCCAAATGAGAACTATGTTAGCTTTTTGCTGACCTAAGAGTTCCAGTGCAAAAGCAGGAAGGCTGACACAAGGAGGAGGGCAAACCACACACCAGGGAAAGGAATGGTGAGATTTCCTTTCCACAGCAGCTGGTATCATGTCAGTTTTTGCTGATGGTGAAATCACAGGGGAAAGTGTCAAAATGTTAATTTCTCATCTGGACAAAAGCCATGCATCATTGAAGCACAATCAAGCTACATTGACCTGGCTGCTGATTGAGTTGTGTAACTATTAATCTGTAAATATTTCACAGGTAAAGAAGGGGAAATTCTTAATCTGAGTAAGTCAAATCTAAATTTCAAAGTGGTTTTAAGGAGACTGATGCAAAGTTTCTAACTTTGTCACGTATAAAAATTTGAAAACAAATAATCAAAACACTTTAAATAAACAAAGACAAGACCATACTTACTTGTTACCCTGGCACTGGTACAGAGTTTCTATCTCACGAAAAACCCGACTCCGACTATGCCCAGCATTTTTTTCAATGATCTGTGAAAAGGAGTTTTAAGAACTCATATTTGAAAAAAATTACTGCAGGAACCATGCATATAGCTCTGGAATTAGGTAACTGTTCCAAGGTTTGAATCTAGGGCATGCCCACTGGAGAACAACGCTCCACCTTTGTTTGTTTGTTCAATTTCTCATCTGGCATTTGTTTACAGAGCAGTGTCAGCAGAGCTCTGGAAGGCATTCAGAGGACAAGAGAAATTAGGGCAGGAAGAGAAGAAAGGAACTAAATCCACACATTACACAGCCAGTGACCAGTTACCACAAGCTTTTTCTTGCATAATTTTAACTTTGCAATGTGCAGAACAGGATATCCTCCTGAGATCTACCAAGAATAGATTTGAGTCACATCAGACACTGAACAGTCAAAAAGAAGAGATTTGTCATTAGAGGCATTTAAGCAACAAATACCGAATTCACCACAAAATAAAAGTTCATAGTGTAAACTTTATAGAGACCCAATAATAGAACCTAAAGAAAACATACATTCAATCTCAGAGCCATCAGAAGTCTCCTTCACACCATCCTTAGGTTGAAAGAGGACAAGAGGCTGATCCTCAATGATTGCTGCATAAACTGAAAGCTCATGACATTACCAAGACATCACCATCACCTGTATCCAGGACTGGTTTCTTATTCCTGCAGCCTGAGCTCTCTGGTGCAGGACAGGCAACCATCCACCAGTACTACATGGGTCTCTGCATCTGATCACATCAAATTCCTAATGCAGAGCTTTGTTTATTTCAACCTTTAAACTTCAACAATTTTACAAAGTACAGAAAAAAATCCAGCATCTATGGAACTACATTTTCAAAGGGACTTAAAATTTTGTGCCCATTTTTGAATAGAATCAAGCACAAATCTTCCCTATTGCTGTTATTTGTGTTTGTAATTAAATGGAGGACTCAGGATAACAACAAATTTGTAAATGAGCCCAGCTTTTCAGTGATATTACAGAAAGAAGATTGGCCTCTATCAAAAATTAAAGACAGCTTTACATGAACCATTGGGAGCACCTGATGCTCTCTGAACAGCACCCAAAATCTTGCACTGTTTGGGAGGCCATGCTGGATAATGACTCAGCCTCTTCTTTCATAAGAAGAGACAAAGGTAGGCTACAACTAAAGCAGGGCATGAGAGGAAAGCTTGCCCTGAGATCCAGTCACAGTGATTTACTGGTTGTGATTTCTACCTGCAGCTGATAAACCAGTTCACTCTGGAGGCACAACACTTCAGAGGACAGGTTTTCTCAACAGTTATAAAACAAGCTCATTTCAAGCATCAAAAATTTCCTAGAAGGATTTGCTATTACCCACTCTATTGCAGGTTTTCCCTGAGATACTCAGAGGGAGTAGACACATCACAGACAGAAGTGATGCTGCTTTTACTCTCTACTTACTTTGACTGCATATTCTTTCCCAGTCTGGAGACTGACAGCACCCTGAACTTTAGCATATGCTCCCTCACCAAGCAGCTCAGCAGTCAGCTTGTACAAGTCTGCCAAAGAAACCCAGAAGAAAGGACACATCCATCCAAGTGAATTTTGAAAGTGAAAGTTATTTTAATGAATAACATCAAGACAAGCTCTTTATCTGCTAAGCTTCCCTCAAATTTATGTAGTATTAAAACAGACATGCCAGTCTTAACTATGCTTCCTTTTTCACCTCCCTCTTTCAAGTTCAAGAAAAATTAGAAGTAAACTTTATCACAGCATCAAAATTGCTGAGATATAAAACATTTGTAGTATGAACAAATGTGTAATCTCTAGGATCTCAGCCACTTTCCCTGTCTTCATGTAAAACTCAGAAACCTTTTTTCAGATGGAAGACAATTAATTATTTGATCAGAAAATGCTGCCATACATAATCTACTTGCAGAGATGGTGTTTTAAGTATTACAAACTTGAACATTTAAACCTGGAGTTTGTTGCTGCTACCATTTTTATTTGAAATGTATCTTCCATTGCTACTTGCTCACTAAGAAGTTTTATACTGCTCAGTTTTCTCACTGAACTATATTTTACTTACAAAATTTCACAGCATTTGTGCACACATCTATTCAACCAAAACCTTTTGACATCAGCACTGTTCCTACCAGAAAATACAATGTCTAGCTAAGAAAACAGAAAAATATCAGAAGCAAAGCAGACTGTAACAGCTAAAAGCTTTTCAATTGTCACCAACCTTCAAACTTCCCAGGGACCTGATCTGTGGCTCTGGTTCTTTTCTTCTTTTTCCTTTTCCCACTGTCTGCTATGGGGACAGGCTGGCTGCTGACCATCTCTGTGTGACAGAACACAGAGGTGACTTTAACAATCAATTACTTCAGGAGAAAATGCACATGCTCTTGTGTGTTTATGGTCCTATCTATCCAAAAGTTTCTCTGCTTTGCTTCATCATAGGTTGTCACCTCTTTTTCAAATATCAGAGGAAACCTAAAAAGGCAATTCGGGTGCCAATTAATAGTTTGGGGGGTTGATAAATAAATGTAAAAACAGGAGGGAACAATAAAGCATCTATACTGAATCCTTATCTCATAGCACAGTAAGGCAAAGCACAGAAATAACCCAGAACACAACACATGCCCTGATACCAGACAACGCTTGCAGCCCTCACAAGGGCACTCCTCTGAGCTATTCTGCTGTTTTACAAAGAGATTTTTTTCAAATCAGCTCAAGGAAATGAGCCTCCAAAGGGGCAGGAAGGTGTGGGGAAGTTTCAAATCACTCAGTGAAACAAAGCAACCACAGGAGTTAAAGTATCACAAGAGAGATCTAGGTCAGTTAATGCTGCCAAAAGGCCACAAAGAAAACCATTTCTCACAGAACCATAATGTACCTTTCTAAACCACAGATCAGTGGGTAATTTATGCTCCAAACCAAGAAGTGTTAATGGCATTTATATTGTTTTTTCCTACATTACTAGCTGCAGATACTACAAGAGCTTAGTCAGGGGTAACAATTCACTGATGCAAGATAGTATGGCAGAAAAAACACCTGCATATTGTTTTTGAAGCTTAAATAAAAACATGGCCATATTTGTACAGCTAACCTAGCTCCAAAAAGTTAAATGATTCCACACTGAGGTTCTAGGCAGGAGCACTTCACACCGATCACATCCAGCTAAGTTTGCCTCAACAGCTTAAAATCTCAGCTGAAAGTCTTCAAGGCAGTAGCAAAGTGCACCTAAGACATTTTACAGCCATGAGGAATTCTGACTAAATTCACTTTTAATCATCTTGTACTACAGAAAAACCTAAATCACTAGTAGAATTATGAGAACACTGGCAGTGAAAGACAAGTGCCAAAAACTTCTGTCGATTCTCTTTTAACAGAGATTGTGATGAGCAGTTTTTCTGCCTTTCACTATTTCTAAAGTACTCAAAACATGGGAGAAGCTCCAAGGCAGAAAACATTCCACAACAATCTACCAATGCATTAAATACTTTTTCTTTGCCCCATTACATTTTTCTTGTTCTTATCTGTCAGTAACAGCTACTGTGAATGTCACTTAGAACCCACATGTCTGAAAATTCAGGGTAAGTGTTATTATAAAAGTCCTTTCTTGTTAACCACTTTGTGAAACACTTAAACATATATCACTCAAAGCCTCAAAACAACAATAAACCCTCATTTTCAAGTCTTAGGCAGAATGTGTTCAGAAATCATCATGATGGATGTTCTAGATGACTTCCTAAATACAGTAATATAAAGCAAGTTTTACCAGTTTCTGAAGAAACAGCTTCCTTTTAACTCAAACTGACACACATACAGCTTCAAATTTTAACATAAAAAGAAGGTGAGCCTTTGGCAGCAAATTCCAGCTCTCCTCAATTTCAATCCAACTTTCCTCAAGAGTTATTCAGAACTGGGACTAAAATGACACACCTGAAGCTGCTCAGAGATAGGTCTGCTCTGCTTGAAGGTGGTGCTTGATTTCCACAAGGTGTCAAACAAGTAACTTTAATGGCCTGACCTTCCACAAGCCATAGCTAGGCAGATTCTATTCCATTTCAAATATCACAGCTTCAGAGCTTGAAACTAAAAATCTACCTTTGATTAAAAATCATCAAAAACTCCAGAATGTGAATCCTGTCTCTCAGCACGGCTGACAGCTTCACAACCAGCTCCTGCACTCTACCAGCTGGCTCTGATATTTACAGTCAGCTGTTTATTAACTCACTACATTATTTCAATTCCCTTTAGTCTGACTCTATTCCTAAATTACAGAGAATTACTTCCCTGAAAACAGGAAGTTCACTAGTTATGTATACAGAAACCGAATTGCTGAAAAGTTGACATTTTTAACCTATAGTCTTGACTAAATTTGCCATCACATTAAAGCATGAAGTGTTAGTTGTGTTAGATTCTTATTACTGCTCTGGTCTGCTATTTCATATCTGACTTCTGTCAACACAGCTCATCCTTTAAAGGTATCACAGCCTCACTCCCATTACTCATTTGTTCTAATGAGCCAGTACTTAATTAACAGCTGGTACTACAAGAAAATGCCTTTAGTCCAGCCAAACATTTTAGAGATTTTTCAAGCTTTCCAAGAAATGCTTTTTTTTTCCTGCAACTCTACAACCAAAAGAGTTTCTGGAGACACTGAAGGACAGGGTGCCTCAAGCATCCAAGCAATGCTGAGGTGTCCTGCCTACTGCAGGAGTGCTCCTGGTGACAGGCACACTGTGGGCTCTGAGGCAGCTCACCCTGCCAGACAGAGCTCAGGGACTGCATGGACTGCTCTGGAGGGAAATGGCCACAGACACGTCAGGTCTAAGGTGGGTGTCTTCAAATTCTGATCTGTCCTTCTACAGTCAGGTTAGGATTATTACTCACAGGCTAATATCACCAGGAAAATCCACAGAGAGATGAGAGCAAGTTTCTGTCTTAGCTGCAGTTTTGTTGAAGGCCCTGAATTTTATTATCATCATAACTCAGTGTTGAGGCAATATTTAACACACACACACTATTCAGAGCCTGTGTGGGAAGATAGTTACAGCCTTTCTCCTTTGCTGTAAAGGAAACTTGCAAACAAAGCCAAGAGAAGAAGAAAGGGAACAATTACCACAAGTTTCACTTCATTCAGACCTTAAGTAATCTTTCATCTTGCTTCCTGACACTCCATATATGAACATGCCAAAATCCACTACCCAGACCTAACTCCCCTCTCATTCTAATCTGCTTCCCAAAGGAAGGAAGAGGATATTTGGAAACAAGCACATGTGTGTAACAGGAAGCACTTGGGAACACAGAAGAGATGCCTTTTTCTGTTTAGAAGAAAATACCTTGTTTGTGTGTTTGAACTCAGTGGAAGAAAGCAGAGTCTGGGTACCACCACCTGCTCCAAAACTGGGTCTTGCCTGAGCCAAGTTGTTCTGGAGCTGAAAAGAAACACCATCACATTACCATTCAGAAATCATGAAAATGTTTTCCCACACATTTAGGTAGTGCTCAGAGCCTGAAGACATTGCAAGGACTTGTTTTGCTGGGCTTCACATGAACACACAGCAAAAGCACACCCCTACAATTTCACTGGAACAAAATGAAAACAGACTCCAGTCCAGTTTTCCTCCCAGCTCAGTGTCTCACATTGTTCCTGGACCCTTCCTCCTCCATCAACACTGATTCCTACAGATGTGGCTCAGAATGAAACTGGACACACTCAGCAGGTGCTGATTCTGCAAAAACCATCCAGCTGCAGGAAGCTCAGAACAACCCAAGCTGCCTTTATAAAGCAGCTACAGTGATTAACTGTGTGTGTAATGTTACACATCAAGAGATACAATTTGGAGAGGAAGCATGTTCAATGATGTATGACAGTCCTGTGTCAAATCAGATTATTTTGTACTTGTTCTGTATTAAGTACATTAATTTCAAATTGTAAGAAGTGAATACTCTTACTTGATTTTTGCACTAGTTTTTCACAATTCATTCTTAGCTGTCTGAGTTACCTTCTCATTCCACCTACAGCACAACTTTTAATTTTGTTTAATCTGAGTTATCCATGAAGGGACAGGAACTTAAAAACATTCCATCATCTTCTCAATAATATACAAGAGCATTAACATTTCCAAATGAACACCTGAAAGTTCACAGGAAGCCCAAGCAATCCAATTTCATCAAAGAGCAAGTCTGACAAAAATTATTGATCCAGCCTTATCACAGCATTGCTGTAACAACCCACAGTGTCACAGCTGACACCACCTGCCTGAAACCCTTCACACTGGGGAAAAGGTTACAGCAACCTTTCCCTTTATGTCCCTGCTTCCCCCTGCCATTCCCTCTGTCGCACTTCCAGGAGATCAGTGTCACATCATCTCCTGCTTGAGCAATTTGCAGAGTAACTCTTTGGTACTTTCAGCTAACACTTCCCTTGCAAACTAAGAGTGGTTTTCTGAGGTTCCCAGTCAAACCCTCCAGCCATGGGTGGATCTCACTTTCCAGGATAGCACATCAAGTTATTTCAGATAGATTCCTCTCATCCCATTTTCTTACTTCACCAGGATTACTGCTGGGGAAGCAGGGAGAACCTTGATGGAGAGGAGAGCACACAGCTCGGGAACAGCACATTTTGACACACGTGCTGCAGACATGAGACTTGCTGAAATCAGCCTGTGTTTCCCCAGGCACACATGCATGTCTCTAAAAGCAGCAGTTATCACTCACAATGGCAGCAAAAGAACGGTTATCATCCCCACTGGAAAGACAGAGGCAAACAAGAGAAGTGTCCTGATCCAGCTAAGACATAACAAGTAAGGAGAACAACTTAGACTGAGCATGGCTTAAAAACATTGTAATCTTTTTAATTTCTGGTTCAAGGACAATGTGTCTCCAAGGCAGCCACATAGTTGGGAGGATATAACAGGGTGTATTTCACAGGGCTAACAAATAACTGTGAATGGTGAGCTCTGCTGGGAACAACATGGCTCACACGCTGGTTATTGCACTAAAGAACATCCTCTGTCCTTCCACAGCCAGCAGAACAGGCAAACAGAATATTTACTGCTCCTGATCACTGGCAGGTAGCTCATGCTTAACACCTGCCATCACAGGGCAGTAAGAACTTAGCAGCAAAGTTATTTTAAACTCCATCACACACATTCTAAATGAGAAAACTCCTAGCAATAGTGGGTAGACTCAACTACTTAAAGGCTCTCCAACCCCTAGAGCACTTTTAAATTAAGGAGATATCCAATGTAAGTAGGTTCTGAGGGCCCTTTACTAAACAGCAAGCTGTTTATTCTCTTCTACATCTGATGGCATGAACAACTCTCAGAAGATTGTCTCTGCATCACCAAGTAGCTCCTCTAATCCCCCTCAACTCCCTTGTTACTGTAAACCAAGGAGAAAAACTTCTTTGAAGACAACTTTTCTTTTCATACAGATACAAGACAAACATTTCCTGCTCTTGCTCCACACCCATAAATGATCAATCAGATAATCACATCTGTCACTGGAGAAAAAAGCTACACAACATACACCTACATCAGCAAGCAGCCTTGTTTGGAGAAGCTAATCTAAATTAATGTTTTTCTAAACCTTGAAGCAAATTGATTTTTCTTTATCTTCCCCTTTCTGTGCTTTCAACTCTAAAATTAAGTCATTAAACTCCACTGTATTGTCACATTTGATGTCACGTAAGATTTGTACCAGTGTTCTAACATTTGTTACCAGGAAGGTACTAGAAGGAGAGAGGACACCGCTCACAGCAGTAAATACTTTGTTTGAAAGCATTACAGAGGACTGTACCATGAAATAATATCATAGAAGCATATTGGTTGAAAAAGACCTTTAAAGAGCCAAGAAAGTTTCAAATGCACAAGGCACCCCACTTTACCTGGAGGGCTGCCAATACAAAACACCTTTAGAACTGAAGAGATAGAGGTTCAGCTCCACAGGAGTGTTTTCTCTTGCTTCCATCCAGCACCTGGGAGGCATGAAGAGGAGCTCTGTTTAGGTAAAAAAAAAAAAAAAAGCAAACAATGGTTCTTTGAAGTTATCAGAATATACATCAACCTTCCCAAGCCCAATTGTGAGTCATAACATTGGATGATAGAGGGTTGTAGAAGAGATCAGCTTGTAAATGGCAAAAAAAAAAAAAAAAAAAAAAGGCAGTGGCTTATTTCCCAACAGATCTGACACTTCACTGACAAGTGCCAGTGGTGTCAGGGAATGGGCTGATTTTTGGCTATCACAAGTCCTGCTGATGCCAGCAGCCGAGCTGTCACCCAGGGCTGTCCCGCTGCCTCCCTCGCCTCAAAAGGTCACCCTGCCCGAGCTAATGCCACAAAGTACTCATCAGGCAGATTTTCAGTGCTCCTCGGGGCTCACAGCTCTCGTTTTATGCCGAAGGAAAAGCACAAGAACGAAAAGATTTCTCGTGATCACACCTAGAAGTTGCTCCGTTCGCCTTCGCCTGTTTTCCCACTCCAGCAATGTCAATAGAAAGCAGCTGCAGTAGGAGCGTACACACTTACCACTCTTTATTGAAAAACGCACTAGGTATGAAACACAGCACTTTAAACCTTCGGGGAACATATTCCCAGCTCCAGACACGAGGAAACTCCCGCATTCCCAGGGGAGAGCCCCCAGACCAAGAGCTGCCGGCCGGAGAGCTGTGGCACCTTCCATCCGGGGGCTGCCGGCGCTCCCGCGTCCGAGCGCTCAGCCCGCCACACTCCGGACGAGCCGCAGGAGCTCCCGCGGGTACGGACCGAGCCCCTGGGGACTGCCCTCCCTGGCCTCCCCTCAGCTGGCCGGGCCGGGAAGCGCCGCGACCGCAGCCCCCCCTACCCTCACCTCCATGGCGGCCGCGGGTCCCTCCTTGGCGGGGCGGCACCGCCCGCCCCCGCCCTGAGCCTGAGCAGCGGCGGGAGCGCGCCTGCGCGCGGCACCGCCCCCTCCGCGCCCCCTCACGGCGGCTCCTCTGAGGGGACGGGACGGGGAACAGCAATGGGGCAAATCAAATCAATGGGGCAAATTAATGGAGTATAGCGGGGTCCTGCTCCCCAGGCTGGGCTGGCTGCTTGCCGTGTTCTCCTTCCCCCATGAGCGATATCACAGCATCACTTCGGCTGGAGAACCGAAGATCGCCGCGTCCGGTCGATGAGCGAGCACCGCTGTGTCAAGGGAGTGCCGCGTCCCGTCCTTCCTTAAACGCCTCGCCGTCTTTCCTTAAACACCTTCAGGCAGGACAGACTAAGAACGGAAAGGAAGAGTAAAGTGACAACAACCAAGGGCTTAGATAAAGTTGGGGAGGCACAGGATGGAAACCCCGCTGCTGGACAAAGAGTCCGAAGGACTCCGAGACGGTGGTGCTGGAAACCACCTCAGCAGCAGCGCTGTGTTCCACCCTCACTTGCTCCCATCCCCTTTGGGATAATCAAAATCCTTCTGCATTTTTTCAACTCTTCCTTGAATACTTTAGATGCAGCCTATTTTCCTCCAGCTAATTCCTTACCTCTCCACAACTGATTAGAGGGAAACATATGTTCCCTTTGTGTCCCATACAGCTACGAAGAGATGCGGCAATGTAAGAGCAGTGAAGGAAAGACAAACATGCCACTCAAATACTTCAAAAATATTTTTTAACAACTACGATTGAATTAGGCTTTTAATCTGTCAGTTTTATCCCTTTTTATGTTGTTATTATTGCCAGAAAATAGATTTGATTGGAAAAACAATCAGGTTTTCTTCTCAGCAGAGACACAAGGCACCTGCTTTGTATAATAGCTCCAAGAGAAAAAATAATAGCAGAAACCTTACTTTGGAGTTTACAGATGAGTCCAGTCTTTCAGTCCTACAAAGAGGAGTTCTGATTTACTACGCAGGAAGTAAAAAGCACAGAAAGTAAAAGTTTAAAAGGCTCAGGAAGAGAGAGTTGTCAGTGCTATTTCCCACTGTAAGGCAGATCCAAGGCAAGTTGAGCCATGTGTTACCTCCTCTTGCTGCCTTCTCTGCCAAGGGGCCAGGAAGAGGCAGCACAGTTTGAGAGAGCTGCCAGTTCCTGCCCTGGGTTCGAAGGACACAGCTCAGAAGCAGAGCAGTGCCTGAGACAGCCACAGCCCACAGGTCCCAGGATGGGATGGGGTCAGTGCCATCAGTGGTTCCTCTGTGGGATCCTCTCCCAGGATGAAAGCATGCTTTGTTCTTGCCACCAAGCTGGCAGTATAAACAGCAGAAACATTGAAGCCTGTTTTCTGAAGGATGCACTCATGCAAGTTGGTGCAGTATCTGATGTCTAAGAATGTGCCAGCCCAGGAATATTTATGCACAGCAATGCCAGCCCCAGCAGCTGTTCCCCACAGGAATCTCTGGTTGCCCATCCAGGCTGAGGATGCTCCTGTTTCCCTCTCTCCCCTCAGGGAAGGGATTAGTGGTCTTTGCTCTCCACTAGCTGCCCACTATTTCCACAACACCTCTAAACCTTTTATCCTTGAACAGGTCAGGATCAAGTCTGTGCAACTCCTCATGTTAATCCCCACGTGAACAGAAGTAAAGGGTAGACTGTGGTAAGACTGTGGAAATAGCTCAAATCCAAGCAACCACATTCAGACTCTCAACATCTAGAACTGTATCAATTCAGGGGAAGTAATGCCAAACTTGTGAAGAGTATTTTCAAATTTAATTAATTGTGGGTTTTAATTCCCATTCATTGCTTCTTATTCCACCTTTTTCTGCTGGGTTAAAGGGCTCTTACATAAAACAGCATCTTCTTACTGTGGGAGCAGATGTCTGTTCTCAAAGCAAGGTGTATATACTTGAGTTTTTGCTTTCCTGTCCCTTTTGTTCTTTGAAAGATAACCCAGCTGCACAACACACTTAACCAGAGGGCAAATCTTGTTTCAATCTAGTCTGTTATAAAGCAGGAGGGGGAAATAAAATAAAAAATAAAAAGTGTTTTGGTTTTCATTTTGTTGTTTTTAATAGAATAGGCATGGTATTTCTGGGAAATGTTTATGCTAATATTTTAGGGGTAAGTCCCATGTAAAGTGAAGACGAAAGCTCCTCCTCAAATGGTATAATTAACTTATTAACTACAATAAATTGTTCTTCCACGTGACTTTTCCTTTTATTTTTTAATAGCTTTTCAAGTGCATGGCTGCTATTTACCCATGCAGCATATGCAGCAGAGAAGTGAAGGAGCCATCTGTGTTGGCTGTTTGGCAAAATAAAAAGTAATTACCAAAGCTACTTTTGATTTAGTAATCTTACAAATGGATCACAGTACTCTGGCCTATGTTTTACTGCTGAAATTATTTCAAGCCCTGACTAGAATTATTCTGCTCTTATCTGCCCACAGCCAAGCACCTGAATCTATATTTAAGCACCTGCAATCTCTTCTGATTTTCAGGACACACAGCATGTACTGTTCTCTCTGCTGTTCAGGGAATCTGTACAGGCTCAACTTCTCTGAAAATTTAGGCAGTTCAACCCAGAGAGAGGCTTATGCAATCACACTTGCCAGGATCAAGCTTCTGGGTCATTCCTTTGTTGTGGATGTCCCTTCTTGAACTCCACCCCCTAAAAAAAACACCAGGAAAAGAGAGAAAGCACTGTTCCTCACAGTAAACCTTATGATTCACATGTAGTGGATCAATAGCCTGGGATATCTCTACCCCTAGAGACCAGGTTTCAGTGTTCTATGTGGCAAAGCTCTCCACATCAGGGGACATGGTAAAATTCTCAAAATGGGCACTAAAAATGTCCATGTGGATGTGAACGCCAGGCTGAAACCTGCTTTTCCTGCTCCATGAGGAGAACTCACAGCTCCACACACTGCCACCCGACTGCCCTCTGGGACAGAGATCCTGAACTGACTGTTTAATGGGATCTGGAAAACATGTGGCCTTCTGGACAGCAACAGCTCAAACCTTTTGGACACAAGCAGCAAAAAGCTTGTACCCATTGTACAAACTGGTCATTAGAAGCTGTTACTGTGCAGCCTGAACGGCCCCATCTACCCCCAGCAGCTTCTCAGCAGCAGCAGCAGGGACTTCCACCAGTCCAGAGTGCATTTCACCCCCAACAGTTCCTCACTGGACAAAAGGGTTGAGATCTGGTGATGTTCCACATGGTGTTTTGATGATATATTCCCATTAGAATGAGCAGGGCTAGGCTGTCTCATGTCCTTGGGCTCCTTGGATATTACGCAGATGAGTAACAACTTCTTTGGCCAATTTTTTTGGATGCCGCAGTTTTATCCCATGACACTGTACATGCCACATCTCTCTGAGCTGTCCAGAGGTTTAGGCAGTATTTGTACATAGATAGAAGTCTTGGGGCCAGAAATGACCAACAGTCCAGAAAGTCCATTTGATAAGGGAGGGTTGATAACTTCATCCTACCCAACTGGGTTCCTCAGATGGGAGAGATGCTGCTGTACAAGTGATTGGCACTGAAGAGGGAGGCCTTCAGAGTCTCCTTTTTTGTGCTTGTGCAGGAGAAGGAGCTTCTTTAATCCTCCTATTGCTATGGGCTTGTTACAAGATAGTGTAATATAAAAGTGTCTGTGAGTTTTAATGAATTTGTAAGTCATAGCACAAAAAGGGTGTCTTGGGGAGAAGATTGTTGTCACTGCTGGAAACAGAAGTGGGAAGTTGATTTTCCCTCTGAGTGCTGACATTTTCAAATGCAGAATCCCAGTTTTGTCTCATGTTCCTCATCTATTTAGGTGTTTAGTTTTGCATCAGAGAGCCATAATACCCAGCAGATTGCTGCTGGAGGATTACCCAAATAATAGTGAAGCTTCTCCTTCTAACACAGGCTGAAGAGTCGTAAAAGTTGAAGAATCCTGAAAATATGGATCCTCTCTCCTCATGATTATTGTTCCTGGCAGCAGATTGTTAAATGCATACTATCACCTGCTAAATATGGAGTAACCTGTGTCCAGCAGACAGCACCTGGACCCAGCTGTTCTGTAAGAAAAGCCCTACAATCCAGGATTCCTACAAAGTCCCAAAATTTCTTTGAGTTTTCTGCAAAAGACATGATTCAGGAGAACAAGTGCCAAATCCATTTAAAAGCAGCAGTTGTGGAGCTGCTGTACTCAGTATCCAGTGGGTATTGCCTGAACAGTGCTATCCCAGTTATCCTGCTGCTGCAGAGGAACCTGTGGCTGGCCCCACTGGTGAGCCAGCTTGGATAGGTGAAAGGTTGGGTGAGCTCAGGCGTTGGGAGAGGCTGGAGGTGATGGGGCAGCCAAAGTGTGGCCAGCTCTGAGTGACCACACAGGCAGTGAGTCCTGCCCTGTGGGGTCAGTAGCAGGTGACATCACCTGGAATCCCCAGTGGATAAACATAAGGTGTCTCATTGGAGATGAATGGATTGTCCTCCACTGAAACCTTCAAGAAATTTGCAGGCGGACCAGCTTTTGTTTTCCTCACAGTCACCTCTACAGCAAGAAATTCTCTTGTGTGAAAGACCTCATGGTGTTCTGTTCTCCATACAGACATGACGTTTCAGGGTCTCTTCACAACAGGGACCTGAACACTGCACTCTTGCTTCAGGGTTTTCCTGACATTTATGAGTTGTTTGTCCTTCCCTGACCTGCATGAGGGAACCTGGCCAACAAGGCTGTGTTATCAAAGCCATCACTCCCCAGAAAGTAAAAGTTGCACACATTCAAGAGAAGAACTCTTGTAGCTAGTTGTGAAAGTCTTTTGAGTCATGTTGTCTCAGTTCCAAAACAGTGAGCAAGGAATTAGCAGTGTAGTAAGTGGAATTAACCTTACCTATTGTTATTAACTAATCTTATCCCTTTCTGATCCTGAATGGATTCCTGGTCATCTTCAGCATGGACAGATTTTGAACCCTTGGAAACAACAGATTCTAATTGTCTTCTTTTTTGCTCTTCTCCAGACTTTTCTTACATTTGACAAACTTTTACCAAGAGAGGAATATCTCAGCCTAGATCATGTCATGCTTATTGTCAGCATTTATCCAGGACTGTCCAGCCTTATCTTGGGCAGGTTTAAACTCAGGAGCCACCACTCAGAGCAGCAAACCCTCCACCACCACCCCATGTCCTGCCAGGGTAGGTCAGCCTTGATCCTAGCCTTGATCCCTCCCATAAACTGGGCAAAGACAGTTTGCTTCACTGGCTGAGCCCGAGCCCTCTCCATGCCACATCCCTGTGGCAACAGGGACAGCTGCCATTATGTTCCACAAAGCCCTTTTTCTCCCATCCAAAGCTATTCCTAAATTCCTCAATGTCTGCAGGTATTGTCTAGCACAGCCTGTCCCATGCCAGCCTCTACCCGACCTGGTGACCAGCACCACAGACTTTTGATCAGTTCCAAAGGAAATGTTGGCTGCAGAGACGAAGACCAAAATCCTGGCAGTAGCACATCTGCCCTTCATCAGAGGAATCCAGGAATTCTGCACAGGGACAGACGAGTCCAAGCACCTGGCAGGCAGCTGAGCAGATGAGTCATTTGAGGAGCTGAGGCTGACAAGTGATATGTGCATATTTAATGCATCCCAGGATTCCTGTCTGCTTTCAAATGGCTCAGGGATGTTTGTTGAGGCTCTGGGGATTTGGAGCTTCACAGGCACACTTGAGACTCATGAAAGGAGCAGTTTGACTCTGATACTTATCTCAGCACTTTCTGCTTCATAAATATCTCAGGCCTTAAAGTCTCCAGGCTGGGAGGCACTCAGATGGATGAGGATCTGGGGAATAGTTCAGTGTTTTGGGAAGAAACAAAAAGATCTTTCTGGCAGTGAATGATCTCCCTGTCTCCTTTTTAAACTGCTTCCAGAGTTATGGAGGACAGTTGTCACAGCATAATCATGAGCTTTATTTCCTTGGGTAAACCAGATTAAAAAGGGAGAGAAATGAAAAAAAAATCCCCAAAAACACCACAACAAGACCTTTGAAATTCTTTGTAAATTAGTGCTTGAGATGAGGCTGTGAGGTGATCTTTCAAAAATAGTGTTTTCTGTTCTCCAGGAATCCATGGGAGCTCCATGGTGTGGAAGAGATAAACAGGAAGCAGTCCCAAAGCCGCCAGGTTGAACTCCTCAGGCATGGGTTTGAAGCACACTTCGCTTTTGCAATTCATAGTGAATAAATTACTTGGTGGAGCTCATTGCCTCAGGACTATGGGGAGGACAAAAATAAAAGCTGGCTTCTGTGCTTCATTTATTTATGGAAATTATTTACACCAAGTCTTGTCTAACCAAAGAAGGTTAACACTTTCTCTCTGGGTACCTGTTTGCTGACTCCACCATTCCCTTGGATTTTGTTTTCCACAGTCTACTTTGAACCTCCCAAGCTGCAAATTGTTGCTCTTGGTCACTGTCTCACAATATTCCACTGCTGAGAAGAGCTGGACTTTGTCATCCTTGTACCTCAGCTGGAAGTAGCCATAGGCTGCTATCAGTTCATGCCTTAGACCTGTTGTTGAAACAGCTTCTCCATAATTCCAACATTCCCAGCTCCCAGAGGGTGCTGTGCATTGAGCCCAGCCAGGCTTCACTCCTCAGGAAAGCAGAAGCTTCTTGACCAAGCTGTTGTCAACTCATGCTACACAAACAATTTGTGCCTGCAGTTCTGATTTATGTGAAGAGGCAGGAACACGGATTCCAGGATACACAGCTTTGCAAAAAATAGTGAAGCTCACCACCATGGATAGCTGGGAAAATGCTTTCAGGGGAATTCTGGTGCAAAGCCTGCAGGGGGAGGATGCTGGCCAGCAGCACTGACCTGGGTTAAGCCACTCTCAGAGATGCAAGCTAAGGTCTCAGCGTGGCACTGAGATCCATCAGTGCTCTCAGGGGAAAACCACCGTGCAAGTGATCCTTGTTCATTAGGCCTGTTTAATACAGATGGACCAGGGAAGAATGAAGTACAGCAGGCTAATTAATGTTTCTTTAATTAGTAACAGAAAAAATATGTTTGGACTTTGATTCTTTTACACAGAGAATATTGGAATGATGCATCAGGTGGTTTTGTGTCCATTTTGCTCTGTTTTATTACCATGTAAAAATATACATCTGGTACACAATATTAAAAAAATATTTTCACAAAATAAGTGCTTTGAGCACTAAAAATTCACTTGTGCACATTAATGTTGGCCTAAACATTTACATTTTCTAGCCACATCCCCTCCCTACCCCAAAAGTGGGCAAACCCCAGACTATAAATATTATCTGTGTCAGATATAGAAAACTTTCCCAGAAAAAGAACAGGAAACACAAACATAACAATTCTGTGGCTCAGACGAATTGATTTTCACTCCCCCAAAACAATAAAAAAGGAAAAATAGAAATATTTTTGTCAAAATTAAAATGGCACAGGGAACACAACACTACTTATCAGACACTGCAAGCAGAAGAGGAGGAAATTTTGAGACATGATACCTTTCAGGGGAGTAATGGCACAGACCAGGAAGCAATAGTATGCTTGCAGATGGTCAAAAAGTTTTAAGAATCACAGAATATTGGGTTGGAAGGGGACCTTGAGTGCAGAGTAGTGGAGATATCTCTTATGAGTCCTTCTTCACCTCTGGAAGGTTCAGTTATGGAAAACCAACAGTTTCTATAACCAGCATTTGCCCGTCTTGAGCCAAGACAACACCTCAGGAAATGCTGACGTGTTGAAAATGTTGTTTTCTGGCAAGAGTCTCTTCCCACCAGTTTTTGAGACTTTCTCAGGTAGTGTGTGCTGATCACACTGAATAGTGACCTCGCTCACCTCCTCAGTCATGGGGGCACTTGCCATTAGTCCAAGCACTATTGGATGCAGCTTAGAACATCATCAAGTCCCTTTTTCAAATGTGAAAAATCCCTTGAAGGGAAAAATGGTCCCTTTGGTAAAGCATGAATTAGGGCAGAAGGAGACATTCACAGCTCATGGTTAAAAACAGCACATCAACAGCTAACCATGTGAAGGCAGTGGGATGAAATGCCAGCAGCTTTGCAGGGCTGATCTCAGGTGTTTCCACCAACCCACTGCCTGTGGGAAAGGTAACACCTGGTAGCCAAGGTCACACCTGCTCACAGGGCAGGAATTGATAACGAAATATCTGGAGATCAATGTAACTGAGGACAAAACAAGAGGGGAAAGTTGCTGAAAATTTGATGTCAGATTGAGTCTTAGAAATCAGAGTGTGCAAAAGTAAACCAACTTGCTTCATTCTCCAGTAAGTCAGTAGCTTTCTAAAACAGGAACCATACAACAGGGATTGGTATCTATTAAAAGAAGAAAAATCTGTCCAGAGGTTCTTGAAAAACTTAGGACTCAGTCCTGGCCTGAAGAGGCACTTCTGCAGTGTTCATAGGTCAGTGAGCTGGAATGTCCAGGGCAAGTCTTTGGGAGGAGGTCTCCCACCACAGGGTGTCTTGTCCCACCAGACTCTGAGCCAGCTGAGTTCATCTGCCAGGAGACTTCAGTGGCAAATTCGTTCTGTCATTTCTTTCTGCATTGAAGGGGGAGAGAAAAGAAAGAAACAGTAAGTGCAAAAGACAAGTTGGAGTAGTGTGACGTGTCAGGCAGTTTGGGAGGTGTCCAAAACCAACTCAGGGAAACAACCGTGGGAGTCCTGGGGAGCCTTCTTGTGTTTCCCATGAGAGCCCTCCTGGGAACTCAGCTGCCTCAGCAGCTCCATCCTGGCCCTCACCCCCGTCCCTGTGGCACAAGGTTATTTTGGCTGTGCCCTAGCCTTGGGAGCAGTCCAAGGAAAGAGCTTTGGCTGAGATATTGAAAGATGAAGGTCCTGCTCCTGGCTCAGCTGCAGAGCAGCCAGACAAGGTGATGACACTCTCAGAGCCCTCTTTGCAGCCTTAGGAGATGGGACACGGAGCAGCTCCCTGCTGTCACTCCAGGAGCTGACCACAGCTCACCCACAGGCCCTGTGGTTTCAGCAAGGGATCCCACAGTCACACTGCAACGCAAATGAGTGCTAATAACAGGGCCACAGGAAACCTCCAGCTCTGTTTAGGATTACAGACTTTTCTTTAGCCAGAATGGCATCATGCCAGCCACATTGGGAAGGCGCCCAGCTTTCAGCTGGTGGAAGATGGTGTTTGTCCTTGCCTTGAAAAGCTCAACTATCATCTTGTAAATCCTGAAGTGAGGAAAGTGTGATTCTGGTTCACTGGGTTCGTGGCTTGTGAATCTGTGTGCCCACAGATTGGTCTTCCTCATGCACCCCAGGGGAAGGTTTGCACATTAAAAATAGATTGGAAGTAGGACTGATCTGTGGAGAAGGAAGATTGCAACTCTGATAAAGAGGAACTAGGAAAGGATGATGAACCTTGAATAACCCCATAAAAGTTCCTTTAGTTATATAACCAAGGGAGACAGAAGCAGCAAACTCTGATTTTCAGTGCTGAGAACTTTGTTTTTCAAATCCATCAGGGATGGTGACAAAGAGGGTTTTCCTGTAGGAGTAACATACAAAATCACTTAAGTCCAGAGCCTGGCCATCAAATGAAAAGTTGGTGCTCTGTCACAAAATCACATTGCAAACAGGAAATGTTTGCAAACATCTTGAAAGGAAAAGAAGACGGTGAGAGGACTGTGCACGTCCTCTTGCAGCAGCATTGCACCCACCCCACTAGCACAGCACCAGGCACAAAAGCAGCCATGAATAGGGGGGACTGCAGTGACCAGTGGGCTGATAAGTCACCAGTGAGCTCCTCAGACCAGCCCCAAATATCCAAGGCTTTCCTCACACCCAGGAAATCCCCACAGCTCTGCTTTAGAGCACAACCAGTGGAGCCTTGCCAGCTCTGCAGCCCAACACCACGAGCTGCCCTCATCAAGGAAGCAAGTGCATGGCTTCCCTCTGGCCCCATCTTCCCTGATTTACTGACAGAGTGGTTCACTGCCGTTTGCTAGTTCTGCTGTACAAAGGATCTCATTCTCAGTTCCCAAGATTTGCAGCTAAGAAATCACATCCCACAGAAGTTTGACAAAAGGGAAATTGAAGCTGCAAAGGGAGGTTCAGCCAGGAGAGAGCTTAGAAGTCTGTCATAGGATTCATGGGGACTAACTAAATGCAAGGTTAGGACAGCTGTCTGGGCTGATGAGGCAGCCTGGTTGCAGGACACTCATACACACCTAAAGCAGCTCAGTGCCTGAGGGGAGGAGGCCTTTCCTCCCCCCTGGTCCTTCCTCTCAACCTTGTGGTTGGTTCTGCTTGAGGCTTGGATGGCAGGCAATGAGACACAGATAGACCAGGGGCAAATGTGTCTCATTTCCTTGTAGTTTAGCAGTGGTTGCATCACAGGGAAAGAATCTGCTCACCTGAGATTTATGGAGACCCGTCAGTCATCTCATGTTGCATGTGAGTCAGTGGCATTGAAAGCCTTTTTAGCAAAGTCAGCCTCTGCCTTGGCTGCCAGGTGTTAATTATTTACATTAGCAAGCAGCAGTCCAAGGAGATGACACCTCTTGGACTGTATAGCAATGCTGAAGAGGTTTGTCATGAGGAACACTGACAGAGGACAGGCTGATGCTGAGCTGCCATTTTATGGAGCTGAGGGCCATTGTGAGAATATGTGTTACAACTGAGTTCTACAAAATAATTAAAGTCGATACTTGTCATTCAAGTCTCCCCTAATTAAACCATCACCTCTCCATCCCCTTAAATCATAATTAGAGCAGATAGGCCGAAAATTGACTGAGACTAATGAAAGCAGAGGAGCAAAGTGCTTAGCAGTTAGGGACAGGGGCTTGCAAGCAGCTGGGACTCCACTCAGCTCTTTCTTGGATTATTATATCCTCTTGGTCTTCCCTGACTCTCTGCTGCTGAATATAGCCTTTTCTGAAACCCAGCCCCTATCACCACATGCCAAAAAAATAAAAAAGCTTTCCATATTAATTCTTTCCCCACTGCAACATGTCCTCCCTAGGTCAGACTACACTCAACCTTGTCTGCGACAAACCTGCTTCTCTTACAAAACCAACTATGTGCATTTTCTGCTTTATGAGCCCTGGGCTGTCTGGCCTCTGCTTCCCACAAATCCTGCTGTTGTCAAGGGCTCTCACCTTCTGCCTGGCTAATTGCTTCCCAAGGGAGGCTGTAGGGAAGCTGGGAGATCCAGTGAGGCCTCTCCAGCATGGCCTGGACAGCTGTTGTCTGAAGCTGTGTGTCTTATCGGGGCTTGCCTTCCCTGCAGCCTCAGTGTAATTCACACTAGGATCTCAAGCAGGGAATGCTGAAAGAAAAACTATGGAGAAGAGTCTTTGGCTCAAAACTGACTCCTGGAAGCCACTTGGGCACAAGTGGCTGGAAACGGTTTGATATGCAAATTGCATTAGAGCTACCAAGTCACTATGGGCACACTACTCTGTGGTGGTCCTAAGGGTACTGAAGTTCAATTCACAGACATAACAGCAGAGGCAAAGGTTAAGAAAGGATCAGTGGTTTCCTTGGTGCTGCTGGGAATTTCTCTCTCAGAGCACCAAGGCTGATGGTCCCAGGACAGAAAATATGACTGTGTGTCTGACGTAGGGTGGCCAAGAGAGTCCAGAGAGGGTCAGCACTGCTCAGAGTCCAGCCACAGCCTTTGTCCAGCCCACACCACTCACCCTCCACCTCCCCATGGCAGGGCCATCCTTACCAAAGGCTCCAGCTCCCTGTGGTCAATGAGGCTGAACTCCCTGATGAAATAGTAGAAGTGCTTGTAGCAGGTGTTGACGTGAGCCTCAGCACCCATGTTGATGATGCTGTCAAAGTGGTGGATGTAGACATGGACGAAGACACGGAAGAGGCGGGTGAGGATCTTGGTACAAACTTGCTGGAACTGCTTGGGGAAGGGAACACCTGCAAAGCAGAAGAAAATTGGAAGCCATATGAACATTTTTTTAAAAAGAAACCAGTCAGCATTTAAAGTTTCTTGACAGGCATACTTGACAGGCAGTCATAGATGACAAGGAAGGAGACCCTTGATTAATGCCAAGAGTGACACTGGGCAGTGTGCCATTGAGCTCTTCTCACATATCCCCTCACTGCCCAACTAGCAACTTCACACAGGCATGGGCTCAGGATGTGGAGAGTTGCCATAGGAGAGAAAAAAGAGTGGGTTTTTTTTGAGGAGGCTGCAACTCTCCACATCTGGCTCAATCCAGAGCAATCTGGCAGAAGATCCTTCTGCCCCTTCTCCCTGCCTTTCCCCTACAAGCCTGCACAGGCACAATGTAAGTCAAACTGTATTTACCCAGGTCCGTGAACAAAGCCAAACCATCTGCCATCAGAAAAGATACCTTCCCCTGAACCCAAAAGCATGGCTCCTACTGTTTTCCTTCCTCCTCACACCCTCAGACATCACTTCTGATGCATCAGCAGAAATGGGTGGAGTTTCTACCTTTTTCCTGATCCTTATTTCAATAAAATGTCTCATTAAATCAGGAAGAAAACAGCCCATCTTAATGATGTTTAGGTTTTAATTTCATTGTGTCTGTATAATCCTGAGATATCCTCATAGGCTGGGACCCACCACATCTGGCTCTGTACTTTCAGCTTTGTCCCTCACAAGGACACAGTGTGGGATATTTTCATCCTTTTCAAAACACACTGCTATCACAAGGAAAATCTCAGGGTGTGATACCATCAGTGCCAGCAACCTTGGGGTAAATCTCTAAAGGAAACATGGCTTTGAAACACTAAACTTTTTGGGTTGTTGTTTTGTGGGGGTTTTTTTGTGAGGAGGAGAATGAAACAACTGATATTTGTTTTCCTGAGGCTTCTTCCTCTCCCCAGAGCAATTCAATGCAAATACACAAAGAACAAAATAAAAACCTTCCTTCCCACGGTTATACCAGCCTCCTCCCTCAGCTTCTTATTAATGCAGCACATAACCTCTCGAAAATCCTTCCAAACAAACTCTGCTCAACCATAGCCAGCTCACACATTCTGTGCACAGGAAAGCATCAGCAAATCTCTTAGCTAAAAAATTAAAAATGGTAATTTTATCTTTGAATCTTTCTCACCAGCCTTGCTAGGCAATTAAAGCTGTTTTTTTTTCTCAAAGGCTCCTGGCAGTTTTGTTTCCCAGCAGCAGTGCCGAGCCCCTCTCCTCTGTGGGTGGCAAACACAAAGGTTCGTCCTTCCTTCACGTGTGGAGCCTGTTTTCAGTCACCAGGGCTGGGCAGGTGTTGGGTTTGGAACTCATAAAATAATATTATTTTTGGTCTAAAGCAGAGTCACCCTGAGCACAGCCCAGTCTCCCTTTCCTACATGCACACTGTTGGAGCAGAGGGTAAGGTTAAAGCATCTCTGCTCATCCCACATCTGGATGTCCCAGCCACCCCTTGGAGAAGGACACAGACCTTGGATCAGCATCACACAGAGGTGGTTTTGAGACTGATTTGTGGCCACTGCTCTGCATAACCACGAGCACACTGCAGCCCCAGGGCTGCTCCTGCAGCAGGGACCTCAGCATGACCTGTTTCACCACCAGCTCTGGTAGATCCCATTAGGACTTTTCAGGAAAGGTGTTCACATCTGGCAAAGTACAACCAGGCTGCCCCTATGCCAACACCTCAGGGATGTGACTGCAGATCTGCCTGTGCCCAGCACCCTTGGCTACAGAGCTCTCCTTGCCTGCTAGTCTGACACAGGCAGGGGTCAGAGAGCTCTGCAGGTTCCCCTGCAGGAAGGAGGGACACAGCGCTTTATCAATGGCTCCCCTTGAGCTTTCTGCCCTGAGTGAGGATTTGCTGAGCAAATAAAAGCTGGAATCACCCAGCTGGGGACTCAGACATGCCATTAGGGTGGCCCTGCAGACCAGCTTTGAAGAACTGGTTAAGAAACTTTTTTTTTTAAATAAAGCTGATCACAGCAAATAATTGTTGGCGAATGCGCCTTTCTGGGCAGTGGCTGGGGAACTGGACACCCTGTCCTAGACAGTCTGTCATCTCTCTAGGACCAGATGAAGCCGGGATCTCAGCAATGCCCAGGAGCATGCAGGAAGGCATTTGCTGCCTTCAGTTTGTCACCTGTCCCAGTCACCAACTGCCTCCCCAGTCAAAGCAGGCAGTGAGGGAGAAATCCGAGCTGACCATCACTGGGAATTTATTGTCAAACTGCAAACAGTGATAGTGAAGGAAAGCAGCAACCCTCAACCCAGTCCTGAGCTGAGAAGGAAATAAGCTCAGAGAGTGAACAGCAGATCAAACAGATCTCAGGCTCCCAGGGCTGACAGCACCTGTGGTGCAAATCCTGCTGTCAGATGGGCCACCTCCAGACATGGCAGATGGTGACAAGTGGCTTTCCACAGCTTTTGTCCTGAGGTTAGCCAGAAATTGTCTTGTCTTATACATCTGTCACCAGCAAGTCCTCATGGACATGCTGGCAGCTGAGAGACTTAGAGAAGAGACATCTCCAGCTTCATTCTGGGTTCTCCAGAAGCAGCTTTTGTATCAGGGAGCAAAGATTTAGCTTAAATCACAAAATCAGAGAATAGTTTGAGTTACAAAGAATCTTTAGAGGTTAGCCAATTAAAATCTCACAGTCACCAGCAACTATGGGAGTTGTTGAACTCCTTAACCTAGTGATGTATGGAAAGATACCATCAGGCTGCCAGGACCTCCAAGCTCACTTCTGAACTACTCAGCCACTGTGTTTCACATGAACCAGGATCATCTGAAGCTCCCCGGAGCTGAGGCTGAGCTGCCCTTCTTTGTGTCCATCACCAGGTGTCCCTCCCCTCCAGGCACGGCCAGGCTGCAGCGGCGGCTGCCTGTCACTAATGTCACTAATTTCTACAGGTCCCATGCCAGGACATCCCCCTCACCATGGTCCTTTGGGATGGCTCGGGTCCGGCTCTGATTCTTTCTCCCCACAACACTCTCTCTTGCACACCTGCCCAGGGAGGCACAGCAGGGTCCTGTTTCCTGTCCCCATGCTGCAGCCAGGTCTGTCTCCTGTGCCAGGATCCTCAATCCAGGCCAGAGATGCTTGACTGGACCCTGCATCTGGCACAGGGCTCCGTGCCAGCTGATCAAAGCACTTCCCCTCGGGAAGGAAGCAGGGCGGATATCCGACATGCAGATTGCCTCTGCCAGCAGCGGTGCCTCGCTGCTGATTGCCTTGGACTTGGAAAGGAGCTCACAGCAGCCCCAGCAGGCACTGGCCATGCTGGTGGGGAGCTGGAGAAACACCCCATCCCCTCACCTAGAGCTGAAAGAAGAGGCTCTGCAGTAAAGGCTGCATCCGAGAGCAGCAGAAGGATCCGGCATGAACGCGGCTCGCCCCGGGTCAGCGCTGCCCCAGCGGATGTCCAGCAGACAGCACATGTGACATCCTCCCCAGCACGGAGGGGACACAGCCAGGGCAGGCCGTGCCTCCTCCCTGCAGCCAGCACGTCCCAGCCAGGGGACAGCCATGGCACAGGGATCTGTGGCCACACGTGCCCTTCCTGCCTCACACTGAGCTCGGTGCCGTTCCCACCAGGGCTGTTCTGGCTCCTGGGAGGGGTCACTGCAACAGGGACCATGGAGTGATGGGGCCCCTTCCCCATGCATGGAGGGGGGCAGCTGCTCCCCACAGGGCTCCCACCTCCCTGCCAGGCTGGGCCAGGCTGATCAGCCTCACAGCTGGGACAGACAGACTGACCAGTGGCCAATGCACCCATTAATGACATTTGGGGCTGGGGGACTGGTGGCCCTTGCTCAGGGAACTCGCTCCATCTCGAAGGTGGCACAAACCAGGGACAGTAGCAGATGGATGAGACAGAGGGATGAGTCTGGTGGGACAGGCCCTGCATGCTGAGGTGTCCTCTTAGCAGAAATACAGCAGGCCAGGGGAAAAGTCAGGATGGACCTTCATGTTGGACAAATCACCCCAACAGGGTGACACTGCTTGGGTTTGCTTCTCCCTCCCCAGCCCTGTGCACCTGCAGAGACCAAAAAACACCATCCCAGCTCATCCCATTGATGGTGGTCTAACCGCCCTAGGGGAGCAGAACATCACAAAACCCACCTGGACTGATTTAAAAGCACTGAAATTACATTTACATTTAGTTTTCATCAACCTTGGAGAAAGCAGCAGCAGCCCACAGTCTGGCAGGCAGCAGCCACCCTTTGACTGTTCTTGCATGATGTTTGGTTTAGATATTAGGAAGAATTTCTGCTCCAAGCCAAGGCAAAAAGCTGTAAGTACAGCAGGTACAATTTCACTCCAAGCAGAGTGACTCACAGCCCTGAAATGAATTGGCACCTTTAGTTTGTCTTGGACGTTTTGCTTGAAAATCCCAAGATATTATTTAAAGCTCCAAGGAATCTGTTTTCCCCACTCTGTGCTGATTGCTTCAAAACATAAGGAAAGCATGTGTAAAAGGAAATGAAAATGAGAGGTAACAAAGGGTAAGGGAGTGCCAAAGGGTCCTGGATCTTTCCTGCCATCTCCTATCCCAACACTTGTGCATCAGCCAATTTAATTTTTTCATGGTGAATCAGTACTGGGAAGCTATTTTGCTTCTTGGCAATTGTATTTTTTTTCCTCTGCAAATGCAGTAATTCAGTGAACTTCGTGATGAATTGTTGTTGTTATTTCTCAATTTCATTTTGGCCACCGTGGTGTTCAGTGATTCATTTTTCCTAAAAATAAGTGTTTAAAGCCCTGTTTAAAACTAATGGCATGATGGCAGCTGCAAGCTGGTGTGGTATTAATTTTGGAAGAAAAAAAGTAGGGGAAAAAAAACTCAACAAATCATGTAAAAAAGAGCCAGCTGAGAGAACACCAATAATTAGCTGAATTCTGAACATTTTTCTCCTGTTGTTATGGCAAGAAAGTATCGGATAATTTCGCACCAGGTTTTCTCTGGTTTTTATAATTGCTTTGGGACTGTGCTTGAATGACAGGCTTGAGTTTTGAACAGCTTTCCAAGAACTGTTACAAAACCTCCCGTGGCCGGTGCTCAGTCGAGCCACAGGCAAATCTGGCAGAGAGCGCGGGGTGCTTCCAGCACTGGGGCTGCTCCAAACCCTGTGTCTGCACTCATCCAACAGCAGCAGGGCTTCAGCAGCCACCATGGTGCTGGTGGAGCACACCTGGCCTCGTGCAGCCGGCCTGGTGCTGGCCTGAGCAGTGCAGCCACAGCCATGGAGCCTGGAGACCCACCCAGCCATCCCTCCCTCCTCCTCAGCACGGCACTGCCCAGCAGCAGCTCCCTGAGACCAGGCACCACGGGGCACAATGACTACTGGGAGGAGAGGAGATTTTCCAGCTGGTAATTTGTGCATGGATGTCCACTCACTGAATAAATCTGATATAGTTTTGCCAGCTGGTGAAAGTACACCTGTAGAATCATTTATTCATCTCCCTGCGTGGGGAAAATGCTTACTGTCCGTTTAAATGTATTTTTCAGGACAGCTACATTGGTTGGAAGAGTGGAAACAAAGCACTAGCACACACAAGATGCTATGGGTTGTCTGGGAAGGCTGCTGCTCCTGTAGATTTATAGCCACCAGGCTGGCAGAGCTCAGGCCATGCAGGGATTTTTCTCATCTTAACTGGCTGACAAACAGGTTCCCACTCCAGAGAAAGGATTAGACAGTGGCATGCAGCCCTGCAGGTAGATTTCCCTGGGCATGGGGAAGACACAGAATCTCTCCCAACCCTTGCTGTGGAATGCAGGGGGCTTGGCAGCCCCCCAGACCTGCTAATAATCTCCACCACAGTGATTTTCTGCTGGTGCCATCCCAGGGCTGCAGTCGTGCTGGTTAACTCTGCCAGGTCACAAAATGTCTGCTGGTGTCAGGCTCCCTTCCTGCCATGTGGGGTGCCAGCTGTCCCTCTGGCCTCACTGCAGAGCTGCCAAGAGCTCTGTATCACACAGCTTGGCTAAACCAAAGGTGTTTGTCACTCTGCTCCCCTCCCACCTCTGACTTGTGCTGGAGGAGCAGATGCTTTAATGTGCAAATCAGCCCAGCTCTGCTCTGGTCGCTGCAGCTGTGACCATTTACCCCAGCCAAGGTGTCCCCTGTGATGCCTAAGGACCCTGTGAGCCCACAAATGAACCATCTCTGCTCATTTCTAGCTGAGCCCCTCACTCTGGGGTGAAAGATTTCCTCCTCTGACCCATGAGATACCTCTCAATTGTCAGGAGCCTAGCAGCAATCATGAACTGCTTCAGGCTCTTGGATGCAGGCGGATGCTGAGGTTAGCCTCCAGCAATGTTTGTGAGTTTGGGGAACACTTGCTGCTTCTAAAAACAAATTTAAAATGAAAAAAGTCTGTTTTGTCTGCGGTCAGGTGGCCTTAGCCAGGGAAATCTTTGTGCTGGGACAGCTTTACTGCACATGGCAAAGAGGGGCCAGGAGGGGAAGCTGAGCTGCTCACAGCCCATGAAACACTAAGACAGTGGGCAGCTGTGCCCAGGAACCTCTCCAGCACAGGCAGGAGTGAAACAAACCTTCAAGCTAAATCCATCTCTGCTGCTAACATCCAAGAGTCTCACCACAACTCCAAAGCATGACATTTGTCATTTCCCCTCATCACCTCATCAAGCTCTTTTCCTCTCCTTAAAACAGCTCACATCTTCTCTGTGTCCTCTCAGTGCCTTATTCTCCTTGTCCTGGGTCTTTTCCCAAGGGCTTGCTCTTTAGGAGAGAGGTTAAGCACCTCTGTTTGGCCACCCTGGCCACTGTCCCTAAGTCCCCCATCCTGGCCAGCCTCCTCTGTCATCCAGTGCATTTCCTTTCAGCCAAACACTCCATCTTCTGAAATGCCAGAGCTGTCAAGCAATTACCAATGAGCAAGGCAGGCCCGTGAAAGGCAGATAATTGGGGACACACTGATGACAAAGTGCCACCAGCTCCCTCCTCCCCCTGCCTCCCCCAACAGCCTTTCATGTGTTTTAGAGTGCCACCTCAGCCTGAGCTCCTTTTCACTTGTGTGAGGCCAACACCACCAAGACATGCTGACACAGGGCCTGAAGTCAGTCAGGGGACATGAGGGTCCCCACAACAAAAAGGCTTGGAAAAGGGCCCCCAGGAAAGCCTTGGAAGAGAAGAAAATGGATTTGACCCATGTTCATCTACAGTCATCCTGGATCTCACCCAGAACTGCCCCTAAACTGAAATGAAAGGAGAAATGGAAACAAGCCATCCCTCCCATGTGCACAACTCAGAGGGAGAAGTGCCAGAAATGAAGTGAAAACCACCAGGACCATGACTGTATTTGGCTTTTGTACCTCAGAGAGAGAGATGTGGGAGAGCAGGGGGTGCTGCAATGTCCCTCCCATGGCTGGCTGCTTTTTGAGGTGTTAATACTCCCTGTACACCTTTACTTCCCAGAGCAGTGTCAAGCAGCATCACATCCCAAATCCTACCTGAAAGGCCTGAAATTGGATCAGGACACTCCTTTCTGGCTGGAGGGAAAACAGAGTAAATCCACATCTGTGCCTCTGCTTTTAATGGCACGCAGATCTTCTCCTTGGGGACAAGCCACCTCAGGAAGAGGAACACCTACCCTGCTCCCTGTGGCTGCTGTCTCACCCCACAGCAGCAGCCAGAATGACCAAGGACTGTCCCCAGCAGGGCTGGGACTGCTGGCCCAGGGTATCCTGCACTGACAGCCACACCTCCAGCCTCCTCTGTTCACTGCAGGGCATGGAGACCACTGTGCCCACGAGGGAAAGGTGCCTCCACACCACAGGGAATGCCCTGGTGAGTCCCAGGGACTGCCTGTCCCACACACCCCAAAGGCATCATCCTGCCTGTCCTCCAGCATGAGCAGCTGGCACTGTGCCACCCTGCCTGTCCAGATCACCATCAAGGGGAAGAAGCAGTGAGTGCCTGCTGCTCTGGGTTTCAGGGACTTGTCCTACCCTCACTCCAGGCAAAACCAGAGCAGATCAGGGGTCTGGAGCTGTCACCCCATCCCAAAGCCAAAACAGTTTGGCACAATTAGGCTGCAGGCACTGCCTGCCCTCTTGCTTGCAGAGACTCACAACCCCTCTCAGGCTCCCAGGGCCAGAGACTTTCCTTAAAAAGACACACAGCTACAAGTACAGCCCAGCCAAATGGGGCTACAACAGTGAGTAATGCCAGTAATCCCACACAGACCATTTCCCTCAATGTTTCCCAGCACATTAATGAAAATCTTGACCATAAGCTGCACTGATTTCATAAAGCTCTGTCTGCTTGGCAAACAAAAAAGGTCAAGCAGACTTGCAAAGCTATGCCTTTCCAACCCCAAGCTCCTTAAATCTTTTTTTTTACACTCAAGTAGTTTCACATTCTGTCTGAAAAACAAGTTCTCCAAGGCATGACCTGAGACTCTGGAAGTCCCATCAGCTCCAACCCTTGAACTCATCTCTCCAAATGACAAAAAGCAGCTAAGTAGCAGCTAATATCAGCCTTGGCAGCTGCTGAGCATTCAGGTCAGCAGCAGAGGGGTTAGTTTGAAAGCTGTGCTACCTTTGGCAGCTGCTGCAGGCAGCTCTTTTTGAAGAGGTGTATCTTACACCCTGGACCTTGGCAGCGGCAAGGCCACATCCTAGGGACATCTCTGCTCAAGCAGTGCCTCAGCTACCTGGCAAAATGTGAGGTCTAATCAGGGCTGAGATGGAAAGGGGCTGAGGAGTGAAGCAGCAAGGGTTGGATCTTGGGACCATGAACCTACATGGAAAACCAGAAAGAAACTGAGTTGATTAGTTGAGAGAAAAGCAGGGATGTGATGACCACCTCTAACCAGCTCTGCAGCTCAGCATCTTGAGGAAAGGCAAGGAGGCTAATGACCTAGCAGCCTTCATTTCTCCCAAACACAGAATAAGTTCAAGCACAGAAAGGGAGAACATTGTGTTCCACATCCCCTAGTAGTAGGGTGAGAAATCCCAAACTCAGTTTGAGCAAAAGGGTGTGACAGTGAGGAACACCTGGAAAGGGAAATGGCAAAATACTTTGAATCACAAAGTTCATCAATACCAGCTTGGGAACCTGCACTGGTTACAAGCCCATATTTCCTGCGGGGAACCAGAGCCCACTCACCTATCCTGGTGGGGAAGACATCCTCATTGTTAATGAGCATCTCAATCCAGTCCATCAGCATGCACATGTACTGTGGGGCCGACAGCTTGGTGGGCTTCTTGTACTTGCTGTCATCCTGCCACCTGTACTCGTACTTGAGCCCACCAGACATGATGGGGCAGCTCCTCTCGGTGCAGTACTCGGACATGGTGCCGTAGATGAGGTTGATGCGGTTGAAGAAATCCACGACGTGCACGGCGATCCAGTCGTTGATGCTCTCGCCAGGAGGCAGCTGCACCACAGCCTTCAGGTCCAGCCCAGACTTGAGGGAGGCCTGGGCTTTCTTGTACAGCTCAAAGCGCTGCGTGCCCGGCTCAAACTTCTTCCGGGGACGGAAGGTTTTGTCTTTGTTGAAGACTTGCTTGAGACACAGGGCCATTGTGGGCAGGGCCAGCCAGGGTGAGGGCAGAGGCTCAGAGCACCATGAAACCCAGGGCTGGGGTCTTCAGGGATGGAGGTTTCTGGGAGGAGAAGGACACATTTCAGTCACACATGAAGACAGCAGCATGCATGGACACACTTGCAGGGGTTCGCAGGGCTGACCCCACTGCTCTGACAGCACGTGGGGACACAGATTTGGAGTGAGCTTCTGGCCCCTTCACACCCACCAGGGTGAGCTGGAGCAGCTGCTGCCACCTCACACAGCAGCTCCTGCCACATGTGCCCCATGCAAGGCAGAGACAGAGCCCTCCTCCCTCCTGAGAACCCCAGGAGCTCACCAGGCTCCAGCCAACTTCTTCCTTCCAGGCTTTTACCAACAAGCGCTGCAATAAAGTGAGAGCCATGATACCAGCAGAGCTCACCAGTTCAGGCAGTCCCACTCTGGCTGCCTTTTCCTCTCCTGGCAAGGGGGAAGCATCTCTTTCCCAGGGAGTTGTCAGTACAAACACCGCCTGACCCTGCAGCAGCGGCTGGCAAGCGAGGCCCCGGGGACCGCGCTGCGACCGCAGCTGGCTGCTGGTTCACACAGCCCCAGCGCCAGGATCAATGGGAAAAGGGGGGATTATTTCTGTTGTTCTGCCTGGTGTGTTTGTCCAAAAGAACAAAACCCACATCCGAAGGAGGGAAATGCAGCCCAGCACAGCAGAACAACGTTGCCAGGATGCCGCCGGCTCTCCCGGCATGCACACAATGCACACGGCAGCCCTTGGTGGTGCAGCTGATGCTCTGGGTGACTCCAGGGCTCAGCAAAGTGCTGAGCTCACCCCTTCCTGCCCAAGAGTAGCAGCACAGATGAGTGCTGTATTTTCCTTTTCCTCCCTGAAATCCAGTGGAAATCCCATCCGCCCGAGGCTGTCCTGGACAGGCTGGAATTGTGTGTTTTGTTACCTGCATTAATCACCAGTGGTGTTAATGTGAGACCAAGGCCTCCTTGTGCTAAATGCCTTGCTGAGGCTTAGGGAAGAGAAAGTCTTCCAACAGCCTCCCTCTGATGGGAAGAGATGGAGAAGCAGTTAAGAAAAAGGAAGGAAAATATTTATGGAAAAGGGAAGTGACTGACCCAAAGTCACGAGCAGGAGGGAATGGTACAAACCTTGGACGAACATTCATCATTAAAAAGATAACTTTAGCCAAAAGCTTGTTATTTAAATTCTATTTCCTAAACTCAGTCCTGAGTCTAAGGCAGGTCCTATTTTGTGATCAGCTAAACATCTCTCAAGTGAAACCCTCTGCTCCCCTTAAGGCTCACCCCAGGGTCATCACTGGGAGGGAGCAGCACCTAGTGATCAACCCAATGCCTGCAGCATCAGCCTGCAGGGATTTCTGCACTGCAGCCAGCACACGCTGCCAAAGCCCTCTCATGGATGCACACCCTGGTGCTGGTGGGAAGCCCATCATGAATGCCATTAGTGCACAACCACAGCCTTTCCCACAGGCTGGAGCCACAGCTTTGCCACTCTTACACAGCTCACAGCACAGCGTGAGCCCCACCATGTTCTGCTGTACCCAGATACAAAAACCTGTGTGTTTTTAGGTGCTTTCTGCCCCCCAGAGGGGGTCACAGCCATCACACAATGTTATGCAGTATGACTTCAACACCAAAGTATCTGCAGACCTTCCCCATCTCATGTGGCTGGGTGGGATTTCAAGAGCCACATCCCTGTCACCCTCATTTATTTTTGGGCAATGACTGGGGGCTGTTTCTTGGATGCTTTTTCTTCCCTGCTCCAAGCAACTGGCTCCAACCATGACAAAGAGCTTGTTTCCCACTTCAGAAAAGAGCACAATCTCTCCAAAATGCCAGCATGATGTCATGACTCCTATCTGTCCCTCAGGAATGGCCCGTGCTACAGCAGTCCCCATGGATCCCATGGGAGGCCAGGGGACTCTGGGCACAGTGAGGCTCTAAAGAAAAGCCCTTATCCAGGACTTCCTGGATTCCACATATTCAAGCGCATCCTGTTGATAACACCTCTAAAAAAAGCCTTCTGGGGAGTTTGCTAACACATAACGCTCTCAAAGGCATGTATGCATACATACATATATATTTATACATAACCACTGCAACAAGGTTCCTAATTTAGTAATGGAGGAAGTGCTGGGATCCCCTCAGGATGAGGCACTCGGCAGGCTTTGCCCACAGTGCAAAGTGGGAACGATGGGGCTGAGCAGTGCCTGGCCCTGCAGCCAGGCTTCCCTGGAGTTTCAGCAGGGGAAGTCATGCCAACAAACATTTCTTTGTGTCACCATTTCTGCTGGCCTTGGCTCCATCTGCTCTGCTTCAGGAGCTGTTGCTGTTTGCAGACTCCTCCGTGCAGAGACTGGGCTGTTCCATGGCGATGAGCAGCCACCCTGGCAGATGACATCCTATCAAACATGTCACTTGCAGGGGCTGACAGCAGTGAAATCAGCTCTCTTTTAGTGCCCACGCTGCAAGTCCTCTGCAAATATTGAGCCACTGGGAAATAAACATTTCATCTGCTGAAGCCAGACCTGTAACTCATCTACAACTGCATCCCTGCATCATCCACAGCTGGATCTCTGTGCTACCCTGCAGGCTGCTCTCACTCATCAGGCAGGTGGGAATGTGCTTTGTGGTTCAGCACCATCTGAATAAAACACCAGTTCAAAAAAAAAAAAAAAAAGGAGCAACAAGGTTGTTAAACATCTGCCAGGTATTTTTCTACCATGCATCTGTTCGAGTGGGAATGGAGAGCAAAACCCATTGCTGCCCAAGTGCTTGGAGCTGACCTGTCCCTGAGCCTGCAGGATGCCAGCATGGCAGCACAGCCTCTCTGCTCCCCAGGCAGCAGTTTTCTTTTCAGGATCCTCACCACCACCACCACCACTATCAAATCACCAAGTTGTTAAAAGACCTTGTTAATCTTTACTGGAGAAAAATGTTCTCCAGAAATTACATTTAGCACAAAGCCAAAAATACACCCTGGGATTTATGACCTGAAGAAGCAGAGAGAGGCACTGAGCCAAAGAACACATTTGTTCTCTACCTCACTTCAGAGCTTTCACTGCCCAGAGAGATCAATGTAGAGGGAACAGTGGTGGCCAGGACCAGGAGATGAGAGCCCAGCTCTGGCCCTTGCAGATGGGGCACTGATATGGGACGCACCAGCTTGGAGCAAACAGGCTTTGCAAAGTCACCAATGCCTCAGATTCCCCTCAGGCAGAGACTCAGCACCCACCTGTTTTCTGGGAAGAAAACCAAAATCCTTTGTAAATGGACCCAGACACATCCTGAATCTAACTAGTGGAAAAGGGCTCCAGCCAATGCAAAATCAGATTTTCCAGGTTTCCACCTTCATGCATACGACCTGACTGGTGCTCTTCCATCATTGACCAAGTGTTTGGGACAGATCCATGTAAAGAGATGGAAAATGGGAAATCTTCCAAGGTTTATGGTGCAAAGTTCAGCTAAGTTTGATGTTCAGGGCTGTCTGTTCCTAGAAATCATGCTGTGGTGCACTGGGGCTTGGGGTGGGGCAGGAGATCTGTCCAAGTGCTAATCTCTGCTCACCCTGCCTGTTTTGGGAAATCCTAAGGGCAAAGTGTTATCCAGCAAGCTTAGGCAGCAACTTCCTACAACAAGATCATACAGGTCCCACCCTGGCCGGTGCCATGGCAGCAGCCTGCAGCTCCCCACCTTCAGTTCCCACTGCAAAATCAAGGCTTCCCAAGAGGAACCTTGGCAAAGGCTGCAAACCCTCTTCCCCACACCACAGTTCCCATCACAGGCTGCTGCTGGCACGCCAGGGGTCCACAAATCCCTTTCTGAAGCATCTGCAAATCCCCAAATCAAACCTCATACACTTGGGAGTGGACAAGGAGTGAAGCAGGTGGAGCTGGAGCCTTGCCCTGCTGTCACCCTGTGTCCCCACAGAGGATGGTTGGAAGAGGATGAGTGAAGTTTCTGGGAGGACAGAGACTGGCATTTCCCATGGGACATCCACGCTGTGGTGTCCTTAGTGCTCACCCCCCATCCACGCTCCCAAAATAGCCTTGGCTTTGAGGAGCTTGGCTACAAACCCAGCTGAGTGGCCACAAATCCCATCCCCGTCCATGAGGGCTGCTGGGCTTCAGTCCTACCCCTGGTTTGCTGCTGGCTTCAGTCCTGCTGGTTTTAAAAGCAGCAGCAGAAGCAAAACTCAGTGGGGTTTAGCAAGAACCAGAAAAGCACAGGGTTCAGCTGTGCAAGGACAAGGCAGAACCACTGCTGGGGAGGTTGCAGGCACAGACGTGAAAAACTGATGTCCTAGATTGCTGGCAAGTCCAGAGATGAAAGGAAATTAACTGGATGGGAGGGATGCAAGTTCAGGGGCAGACTCAGGCGCTAATTTCAGGTCTGAGGGTTGGTTTTGTTTTTTATCTAAACTAGCTTGCTTTCTTTCTTACTTTTTTATCATTTCAAAACCACAGAGGAACACACCAAGGCGAGGGCTTTGTTGTAAGTTAAAAACAGCTCTGAAGGATCAGTTTAGAAACGACAAAACAAAAAGGAAGAGCAGGCAGAGCTGTGGGAGTGTGGCTTCCTCCTCACAGTCCCGCAGGCATGGGGGCAAGGTCGCCAAAGAAAACCTCTGGGTTTGACCCTAAATAAGCTTTAGTCAGAAAACCAGCAGGGAGGATCAGACAGATGCACTGTCAGACTCCAGGATGGTCACAGTGCTGCTCCCTGCCTCAGTGTCCCCAGTTTCAAAACTGATCTCCCTCCCCAGGCTCCCTTTATATTAAGGGCTGCAACAGCAGAGGCTTCAGGGGAAAGAGCGCTTTGCAAGTATCTCTGGGAAGCCCTAACAACCACAAAGGGTAAGGAGAGAGGAAAGCTCTGACACCAGCACCTCCCATGCTCCAGAGCCAAGTGCATCCTCCCTGGATCCATCCTGAGACAGTGGCACCCTGGCAGAAGCATCTGCCTGGAAACTGCTGTGTTAGCAGCACACTCCAACCCTCGTGGGCAGTGCCACCACTGGGGAGCACAATGAGGAGTCCAGCACTGTAGGCAGCCTGCAGGGAGACTCCAGCTCCCACTGCTTTGGGAAGAGGCCCAGGAGGCAGAGCACAGACCTGTCCAGCTCCAGGCACCTCAGAGCAAAGTGTAGGTTAATTACCACCAGCTCTGCACATCCCCCTCGGGCTTCCCCAGGGGATCTTGCTTTTGGGGCACCCAGATACCTACTGCTTCTCTGCTTTAGGGGATTCCCTTCTCCCCACCACAGGCAGTGTCAAAGTCCCACCCAGCCCCATCCCAGATAGAGGAGAAGGAGAGCATCAGCTCAGCCATGTGCCAGAGTCCTGAGACAGACAACCAGCCTCCAGATGGACAGTCTGCCCAGAAACCTGCAGGCCCCAGCTGGCTTTTCACTGCTCTAGGAAGCCTCACTACCTGGCTGAGGAGTCAGCAGCCCTGTCTCTGAGCTTCCCCTCAAGCCCCAAAGAAGTCCAGATGCAGTTTGGCCTTCAGCCTGTCCTAGAGCGTCTCTGCAACCAGGGCTGCTCCTTGGGACTCATGTCCCAAAGACTTCTCCCAGGCAACCCTGAACTGCAGACACTGCATCCCTGATCCAGGGGGGGACTGTGGGCAAATGGTACTTCCAGGGAAGGGAGCACATTCCCTCTTTCTATAAACCTTTCCAGCCTTGTCATCATCTAAGGCAGGGGGGCTGCAGGAGGAGGGTGCTGGGGAGCAGAGTCCTGGGGCACTGGTCCCACTCCCTCTTGTGCTTCCTGCTGGAGCCAAGCCCCAGCTGGGCTGTCCGTGAGAACGGGGTTATTGGCTGCTGCTCCCAAATATAACCTAAACGATAGAACATTCCAGGAAATGAGCCAAGGCAAAACGCCGGGAGGGGGATCAAGGCCCAGCACATGGGCTGGGGGAGCTTCAGAGAAGGCCCGGGCTCTCAGCAGCATCTCCCTGCTGCCAAACCTTCTTTGTGCAAACTCCCCTGGTGCTGCAGAGACCCATGAGAGCATCCATGAGCCCAAATCCCTGGAGCAGAGCAGGACCCAGGCCCCACGCTCCAGCTGGGGACAGCTGCCAGCGGGAAGCTGTGCTGGTGCTTCCCCCAACTCACATGGTGCTTGGAAATCCCCAGCTCGTGAGAAACAGACCTGGATGGCTTCCAGGAGCGGGGCTGCTTACACCCGCCCTACAGACGTCCCCTGCTGTCCCCCTGCTCTGTCCTGCTCCATGCCTGCCTCCCTGCCGCACCACCAACAGAGCAGCAGCTCTCTGGCACAAAGGCACCAAAAAAGTTTTTCCCAGATCACACAAGACACCTCCAAGCAGAAAAGCAAAGCAGCAGCATCTCTCCAGGTTAGAGGCAGCATGTCCCGTTCATTTTAGGCATGATACCCAGTGGGGCTGGGGGCTTTTTGGGAGTACCTCATTCCTGGGAGCTGAGATCTCACTGCTACTAGCAGTAACTTGCTGTGAGCCCTGAAAAGAAGTGTCCAATGGCCTCAGGGTGTCCAACAGCTCTGGTTCAGTCCCAAGGGTGATTATTCCGTTGTCAGAGACGTAATTCCAAGAACGGGGAGCTCCAGGCCTGCGAGCTCAAGGAAGAAGACGAGAGAAGATAAGCCAGCTGCGGAAAACCCATCTCCGCCGCTTGCTCTCACCAGTTCCCCCGCCCACAACTTTCCACCCTCGCTCCGACACCGACACCGGCAAAGCCGCTGCGGGGGCTGTCCCGGTCGGGAAAGGCGTGTGCCGCCTTCCCCTGCCTGTCCCCTGCCCCCAGGGACCCCTTTCCCTGCGCACCGCCGGTCATTCGCACGGATCCCTGCCCAGCATCCCCCAAACAGGGGATCCCCGTTGGTATTTACACACAGTGGGTATTTACACACAGTGGGTATTTACACACTGGCTGCCGAGCTGGGACACCCGGAGGAAGGGGGAGAGCCTTCTGCAGGCGTCCATGGCCCGGCTGGGTGAAGAATTGCTCTTTGCCGACCCAGGTCTCGCCAAAGCCCCCCAGGAGCATCCTCAGGAGTGCGGTGCTGGCTTTTTGCCTCCCAGGACTCACCTCATCCCCCGGCACGGCGGCTTCCACTCTCAAATCCCTCCGTTGCACTTTGTGCTCTTATTCAGGAAAAGGAAAAAAAAAAAATTAAAAGATACAAAGTCCAAGGCAGGCTCTCTGTCGGGACTGCTGGCGGTTTGGGGATCGCAGCAGCAGCAGCGGCAGGCAGAACCGCCTCGCCCCAGCGCTCACGGGGGTTTCGTTAGAGAAGCCGGGGCCGAGGGTTTTTCTCCGGTCAGTGATGTCACATCCTGACCCTGCCGGCAGCTCCAGCTGTCCCTGGAAAACCCGCTTGGAAGCGGGCCTGCCAGCCCCAGCATCCGCCGCCGTGGGCTCGCAGGCTCCCGGGTGGGCGCTCACTCCCAGCCGCGCCCACGCTCCATTCCTGGGCGCTGAGATCCTTCTTGGCGGGCAGCGCCGTGCCCCGGCTGGCTCCGGCTTTCACCGGACAGCACGGAGCTGGGGAAAGGAGATGAAATCTCGGAGTGTTTTCCCCTCCTCCCCCCATCTTTTCACAATCCCTCTCCCTTCATCCTTCCCCGCTCTGCACACACACACACAAACAGCCGGGGGTTTCCATGCCAGGCCAAGCTGGATGCCATCCAAAACAGAAATGCCGGAGAGGGGAAAAGAAAGAAAGAGAAAAACTTTCTCTGCACAGAGCACTTACTTTCCCTTTCTGTCGGAGGTGGGGTGAGTTGTGAAGCGCGCTGCGGTATTTAAATGCTGCTCGGCAAAGGCAAGCCCGAGCCAGCACGCTCGGCGCCGGCAGGAGCGGCCAGGCAGCGTGGGATGGCTTGGCAGGAGCCGGGATCTGCCGTGGGGTCGGAGTCCCGGGTGGGGCAGGAGCGGCGCTGGGCACCCCGCGGGTGTCGCGGCAGGGACAGGCACAGCGTGGCCCTGACACCGCGGTTCCCTTCCGGGCACGGTGACGTGTCGCTCCCCGGGGATGAGATGTGTGATGCTCTGGCCTCGCTGAAACGTCTGCGATTGTTTGGCAGCGGGACAGCCCCAGTGAGGGAAACGCTTCTGGCCTTTCTTACACATGTGTTAAACTCGGGTCTAGGCGAGCTGGGGAGTGGGGCACAGGGCAAGGAGGGTGTGGCTGATGGGCACGTTTGCATAAAGTTGGAGGGTTTAGGATGAGGGTTTGATTCCCTGGCAGCAGGATGCATCTCTGCAGGATCCATACTCCTTTCCCAGAACACAGCTTCTCAGCTGCAGGTGATGCCAGGGTTTGCTCTTGGGGCACAATATTCAGAGGCAGTCTTTAAAAGTAAATGCATCCAGCAGCCTCCCAGACGAGCCAGCCACGAAGGAGCTCAGTCCAGCCCTGCAAGGCACTTGCTCTGCTTTCCTCCCTCTCTCTGTGAGCTTGGTTTGGTGCAGGTGCAATAGGAACTCTTTGGCACCTGCAGCAGCATGTTATTAAAAGTGAAGAAGACACTGTCGGGCCCATTTAACTGGGCAGCAGTCACTGGTGGATCAATTTTGACTGGAGCTGAAGGGAATTGGAGCTTGCACACCCCAGAAGCCCCTTGCTTTTCTGCCTGTCCCCATTTGGGACACAGCTTAGGGGCAGATCCTGAACTGGATGACAGGAGAAGGACACACCAAGGACAGGCAGGATTCATCTGTGCTCTGCCTCCACTACAGCATGAGATGGCTGAGGTGTCTCACATCTACAGAAAAGGTAAAACCTTGAGCTGAAGTGCCCTGCACAGCTCTTGAGGCAGGAGGGAAGCACAAGCTGTCAAATTCATCTGTGCAGCTGCTTCCCACCATCACCATCACCAGCTAACCCAGTACAGGAGCCATCACCCCAGAGCTCAGCTCTGTGTGTGCATCCTCCCAGGACCTGCAGCCTGAGCCTTTTCCACATCATCCTTGCCCTGCTCGTGAGTGAATCTCTCACAGCCATTGCAGGTAGGTCCATGTAACATCCCTAAAATCAGGATCAAACTCAAGTAATCCAGCAGACTCTTTCTGGTCACCAGCAAACCAGCCACACTCCTGACTCCAGCAGGTTCAAGCAAAGTCTTTTCCCATCCCCAGTGCTGGATGTTCATTACAGCCACCCCAAGTCCCAGCAAGGGCTGAGCAATGCTGCTGTCCTCCATCCTGGGGACCTGGGGTGCAGGAAACAACAAAATGTCCTCAGACCTTGTGAGTGGGAAGGGGAGGTCTGTGAAGCAGATGTAACTCCCAACAGCAAATGCCAAGCCAGGAGGAAACTTTCAGCTGAAATCCCTGCAGAAAATGGGCGGAAATCCAAAAGTGAGGGGGCTTGGCCGAACAGCAAAGATCCCAAAGGCAACTCATAGCCAGGATTTACATCCAGGCAAGATGGAGCCAAAATACTTGGAGGGGAGATGGGGTCCTCCCACCCTCAGCAGTCTGGAGCCAGAAGAGAGGGGCCAGGAGAACAGCAGCGGCGCTGGATTTACATCAGGTGCAGACCCACAAGCCCACAGGGGTGAGCAGCACATCCTGCTCAGGGACTCACCCCTCACGTGAGGTGCTGGAAACCTCAAAAAGCAGAGAGCCCACGGTGCCGGAGCCAGCCAGCTGTGGGGAGGGGAAGCAGGAGTCACTTGGGAGAGAGGAAAAGGTCCGAGGGACAGCTTTGGGGAAGGCGGGATGCGTTATTGTGAAGAGGGCATTTGTGTGCCCTGCAGGAAGGAAGAGGGGAATGCTGGCCTCGCTCCTGGAGGCAGGTGCATGGCTGGATTTATCGGGGGAAGGAAGCAGGGACGGAAGAGAGCCCGGAGCACTGGGCGGCTCCATCGGAGCTCAGGGGCCGGCACGGGAAGAGGCCCCGGGCAGCGGAGCAGCTTCGCAAGGCTTGTCAGGACACGGCTGCTCCGGGGGAAAGGAGGGGGCAGCCCCCTGGCACCCCACACTGCGCTGGGCTCTCACACAGTGCCCTGCACGGCACCCCATGGGCACTGCCGCTTCAGCAGCCGGGAGGTGCTTGTTCCAGACAGGGCTGGCAGGCTGTGCACGCCTGTGCAGACCAAAGACAGAGCAGAGGGAGCACTGGGTTTGCTCTGGTTATCCCCAGAGGGGAACAGGACGTGTCCAGAAAACAGCTCTGCAGCGTTGGGAACAGCCAGTTCCCCTGCTCTGCTCCGCTCCACCGTGTCCTGTGCAAACTCAGAGACAGGGAGGGAGTGAGAGCTTCTTCAGCCGTGGGGCAGAGGGCACTGGAGTCTTGCCATTTTCTAAGGCACAGGGAAAAAAGGCCAGGCACAGATGGAGTCATCATTTTAAGGGAGGGTAAGAACGTCATCCATCAATCTGCACTTCCTTGATTGCTTCGGCTGCCACCTCCTCCCTTGGGAGCAGGAGGGCTCTGGGTTTATCTCCCCAGGGTGACAGGGCTGGGTGGGCAAGACAGAGGTTTGGGATGCTGGTAACAAAGAGCCTCTGACAGCAAAACTTGCTCCACCACTCCCAGCGGGAATTCCTGCCACATCCCGGGCTCTGCTCCAGCTGAGGGGGCTCCGACAGCACCTTGCTGCAGGGGCTGAACTTTACATGGGGCCACTGCGAGTCTTGGGCTTCTTCTCCCTGAACGTGCCCATTTGACGGCTACTAAAACCAGACACATCCATCTTGGGAAGGTGCTGGCCCAAAAAAAGACTGGAAATCAGCAAAACACGCTGGGAAACTACTGCAGGATGCTTGCCCTCCCCGAGGCAGCTCAGGTGGGATCTGGGACATGGGGCTGGTGGAACCTTGGGCTGAACTCAGCGCAGCCCTGCTCGTTATGGATCACACTCAACTCTCAGCACACAACTCACAAAGTTCACAGAGCCGAGCAGACAGGCTCAGGCAAGCTGTGCGAGTGCCCAGAGCGCAGAATCAGGAGACAAACCTTCCCTCTAGTGGCTGGATGGCACATGAATCCCACAGCCACCTTCTCCCTCTGTCACCTCTCTCCCCATGCCAAGCCTAACAGAATTGTTTTTCACCAGCCCTAAGGCTCAGCACAGATCCTAAGGACATCAAATCTTACAAACTCAGTGTGAGTTTTTAGCGGCTTGAAACTGGCACAGCTGCTGATTTGCACAAAGCCAGACAGCCCCGGGGGTCTGTGCCCACTCTGCAGCTGGTAGTGCCCATCCATGCCCGTGGTCAGCAGCACAGTTCATGCACAAATGTGTCCCAGGCACTGGAGAAGCCACACGGCCACAAATCACCGCTGGTTTCTGCAGCAAGGGTGGATTGTAGGGCCAGTTCTGCAGCTGGGTTACTCCTCCTTGCAGCAGTCATTCAGTGGGGCAGAGGATTAGATTTTGCTGGACCTTTTTATTATGGGTCTTCATCCCAATTTTAGGCTCATCACTGGCCATTTCTGCCTTTTATTAAGCCCTGGAGAAGTTCTTATTTTAGGAAAAATCTCACTACGGGTTTTAAAAACACCACTCAAAATTAAAGGTAAATCACTATAGCCTTATACCTGAGAATTTGATCTTTTATGCTCAGAAAGAGGCTGAGGTGTGGATTTGGAAGCCTTAGATTTCACTCTCAGGGATGTTACATTATAGCTGCATTAAAAATGAATGCAGCAGCTTTGACTTTTTCAAAGCTGGAAGTGAATTATTAATCAAAACAGCCCTTTTATCAGCTAAGGAAAAATGATAAATGGAGCATGAACACCATAAACCAGAAGTAGAAATGCCTTTTAATAAAGGTGATTTGCTGTTCAGATTATCACAGCCCTATCCACACCTCCTCTGATTAATTATTCCCCTGCTCTGCAGACTGCTCTGCACACACTCAGTGAACAGAAACCAAAAGACATCACCAGGGAGCAAAGCCATCTCCTTTCAGCAAGGCCCCAGGAGATTTGCCTCTTCCAGAAACATCTGGCAATTTCCTGAATGGACAGGAGTTCACATCCAACATCTAAGAGCTGGTGGTAAAACAGACCTCAACATAAAACTGCAGTGTGTAGCTTTAGTGCTCAGCTGAAGTGTTCATGTCATAAAATCAGAGAATGGGCTGGGTTGGAAGGGACTTTCAAAGGCCATGTAAGGGAAAGAATGGGCTGAGAAAGTACAGAGTGACAGTGGGCATTACAGCAATGGGATCCTGCAACTACACAACAAAAAGATGCTCCAAGAAACCTTCATTACTCATCACAGCTTCATATCAGGTTGTGGTTAATGAAGAAAATTGACACCTGTCATAGCCTCCAACAGAGACAAACTGCAGATCCCTCTTTCCCCCTTTCTCTGGCAAAGGAGGGGATGGATGCTTGCCAGCTCCAGCAGGCTGACAAGGGGCAGTGCGGCCCAGAGCTAATTAGTGCTAAGGATGAGTTAGTGCTGGGGGTCTGATGTAGACATGGGCAGTATTTCAGTGGCTCCTGGAAGCTCCTGGCTGTCCTGTGTCCCCATGAGCAGTGGTGGCAGTGCTGGTAACCCCCACAGGCTGCACATCACACTGCTGCAGTGCCCTTGGCCATGGATGTGCTGCCTGCCTCTGCTGGGAATGACACAAGAGAAGCTCAAAGCATCAGTCTGGGGATTCTTTTGCTGGGGGCAGGTTTGAAACCCCCAACCTGCTGCAGTCTGTAAGGCCAGGCTCTTACCAACGCTGCTGTGTTAAAGCAGCTCTGCATGTTCATACCAAGACATTTTTTTCACTTGACAAACAAGAAGCTGGCTGGTGACTCTCTCTGTCACTATGCCAGTCCATCTTTCTTTTATTAA